GTTAAGTCATTGGAGGCGCTCTTCATAAGGTGATTTGGTGCATATCTTCGCCATTTTTGGGAGACCTACAGACTCAGGTCCTCTCATAGATTATTCTAACCACCATGGGTTGTCACGGCAGCTGATGGATGGACACGCGTTACATATCCTAACCGTACCTGCATCTTATCTTATAGCTTCTAATTCAAATGACAAGCAAGCAATGCCCCTACCCGCACTAATGGAACACTAGTAACTCAAATGCACCCCGTACGGTACCTTACACTGGTTTACGCACTCGCTTAGCTCATTAGTGAGAATATTAATACGGTCCTGCTGAAAATCCCATGAACCCCCCTATCTCCATCAAAACAAATAAGTCTGTATTCGCAGCATATAGCAATTTTATTATTCAAAAGTAAGATATAACAGTTAGAATTGGAGTAAAATGACAGTATACAGCAGATGCACGTGGTACATGTCTTCATCGATTAACTAAAAAAGAGAATACGGATATCAGCTTAGCAGGATTATTTAGGAAGACTAGTGTCTAATTTGAACTTACTGAGTGAGAAAGTTATACTGGAACTACGAATGTTGTAGAAATAGAGTTTCTCGGGGCGTACAAAGCACTCGGACTGTAAGACAATTGTGCAAAAATAATTCAAATATGAAGGTGAAAATTTGCAGGTACTTTTCATCGTAAGGGTGAACATATTAGGTACCAGTTGACATCATACCGTAAGAAAACACAAATTTGCGAGTGGTGATATATGATCTAAAAAAAAGTGAGCTTAATAACAGTTAATCACCTTTTTACTCCCTGATCATGACCCTTCGGCTTCCTTTTATGGCCAAAACAGCAAACATACACTAGACACTGGTAGCAGATTTCCGGCTTTTCAATGTTAAGTTTGCTTTAACACACTGCATAATGATTACAACCACTCTATTACTGTTATATGGCATATTTTTCAGAACAAACCCTCTGAAATAGATTGGTAGCATCTGTGACTTCATCTCTAGTTGTCGGAAGTCTGGGTCCTTTCGAAATCCGTACCGATATACCCTACTGCTGGGCACTCTGTATTAGTTTGACTCGTTGGTGGGATAGTGTTGTCCATAATACTGAAGAAAATTACAAAACGCAGATTGTTTCCATTCATTTTGCCGATAACATCATAAAGGACTGTTAGGAACGAACATGCGAACAGTTAAAGTCACAGGCGGCAGCAACAATTATTTTAGCTAAATAAAAACGAACTACGGCTTCGGATATCTAGAAAACAAGGTAAAACATAACCGATTGTCGTTTAAAATCGTAAGGTATTATGTTAGTACTAGCCAGCTTAGCTGAATACAGTGACTTAATTAGCAGCAGGTAAAACCCAGAAAACAAAGCAAAATCAGGAAAAATTTTGCTCCAACGTTCAGAGTATTACACTAACTTCTGAATTTTAGCGCACTGAAACATCAAATTCTGTAGCTACACAAAAGAAATAGCGGAAAAAACACAGAACGAAGAAAGCCGGCCGACATTTTATAACACAAGACTAGCCAGATTGCTTGAAGAAATACATTGACTTGAGTAGAAGCAGTAAAAACCCAGAAAACATCGCTGATTCGAAATAAACTTCATACCAACATATAGAACATTACACTAACTGCGGCATTTTAGCACACTGAGACATTAAATTACATAGCTACACAAAAGAAATAGCTGAAAGGAGCACAGAACGAAGAAAGCCGACGCCATTGCTTACAAAGATGGCGGATGTAATAATTCCCGCCTCATTCTGATTGGTTGCTAAGCTGAAGGGCACATTTACGAAATTAAGTTGCGTTTAATTGCAGCCGGCTGTAGCTAAGGTGATAGTGAGAAAATTTCACCACTAGATCTGCCAGTAATTGTATTTTAGTTGTAGAAATCTTGGTCTCATAATAACAATTAATTGGATCGAATTGGATTGAACCTCGATTGCCACGGACGTGTACTATCTGAATTCAATTAAAATAAAATTAATTGAACCGTGGTGTGGATCACTGTGAAAGTGAATCTCAAGTTAATAGGGCCCAGAAAAATCTCTTTATGAGATGACCATGCGGTGGCATATGTAAAGGTATATATGTATTCCTGTTTATTAACAATCATGTGACTGATCTGATCTCATGTAGTTCAAGAGATTATACACTCGTATGAACTTGTTATGTATGAAATAATCGCAACAGTTATGTATGTTTCAGTTACGTCTTCATGTAGTGTGAGTTTTAACGCCTCATGAAAGTTACGGACTGAAACACTGACCGGTACTTTCTGAGTTTAGTAGTTCGTCTAACTGCGTCGGACTAGCAGAAGGTTCGTTGCCCATGGCCTTAGTTTCTAAATGTCTTCTGAGCCTCTTATAAATTGTTATTCTATTCAACCTACCATCCCTTTCGAATGATGGAGTTTTCCGTCACCTACACGAACACTCATAGACTTCGGAATAAAACGTCCGGGCTATGTTTGATGTTGGACGGATAAAGACCCGATATAACTGTTGTCATGGCACTTCGTCTCACCGTAGATATAGACTGTTCTCCCATCATCGCAGGCTGCATCAATATTAAAAGTGATAGAGTTATAAATCGCAAGGGAGAATGCGTGATGCCTTATGTCAGGGATCAATTTCGTGTACAATCGATCGTAACGGAGGCGCAAGTTAGTTACATGCGAGGCTGAATTTTGTACAAATAAGTCTAGACACGGGTTAGTGACTGTACGACGAGCATAACGTAGTTCGTGCCGTATTGGTTACGACTTTATATTAATATACATCTGTTCTTGGAGTAAGGCCGAGTGTTGTTTCATAATTGTATATATATATCAGTCGGATAAGGCTCGCAGCTTTGGTGAGGGTTTCGATAGCGACTTTTTATTAACCATTATTAGGTGTTCACTTGCACAATGTATTGCGAAACCGACATATATTGATTTGGAACATGATCTGTTATTGTTAGACCTTGTCCTGACACACCACTGTGAGAATATCATCGACGTTCAGCAATTCCTCTCACTAGCGAATAGTGATCACGTCGTACTTTACTTTACGTTTCGGACCTATGGTATACAATGTGTATCCACTCCACCTCGTTCCAATATGTTCTGGCAATCAGAGACCGTGGTATCTCGACTGAGTGGTCCGTCGATGCGGATGGATTAATTGAAGACGAATGGAATACATTTAAGGCTACATTAGAGTCCGCAACATCACCGTTTATCCCACAATCAACAAGTAAACTGCCACATTGTCCTCCATGGATTAATAAAGTAACCTAAAATCTTTTGAAGCGTAGGAAACACTTTTGGGACTTATTCGTGTCAACGGGACACGACAAGATATATGTAAAAAGGCTATAGCAAGATGCCATGCAATTTACGATCTATTTCAGCGAAGTCTGCTCTATGTGTATTGTTTAAAATATTTGTCCAACTCATACCGTTGATATACCAGCTATAGGACCTGTATATATGGATGAGGAAACTTTTCTTCAATTGATCGCTAACCTTAAACCTTGTGAGACACCATGCCTTGATCGACTACATCCACGATTGCTGTCATTCCTCGAGGACATTATTTCAAGACTACTCGAGATGCTTCTCAACATGTCCCTTCCCCACACTTAACTCCCTAGAGATTGAAAAGATGCTATAGTCCGCCTAATAATTAGAGACGATCAGAGATATATCGTACCTAACTACCGACCTGTCAGTCTAACCAGCATAATCGTTAAGTTACTAAGTCACATAGAATCGTGCAATCTGTTAACTCCTGAGCAATACGGGTTTTGAAACAAAAATCCATGCATGACCAACTAACTTATTGCAAGAGGGGATGGACAGCGGCCCTGTGTATTTATGTAGTATTCATAGGCTCAATGAAAGCTTTTGACAAGATTTCACACTTATGTCTTATGCAGAAATCCTCGAGCTTCGGAATAACAGGTGCTGTACAGGAATGAATAGGAAACATCTTATGTGACCACAGAAAGTGTTACGGGAGAACTGAAGACATTTGGCTGATTAAAAACTTTATATTGGATATTAATAATTTCACTGTGTTTTGGGATGTATTAGTTTTGTTCGAGTTCTGAACATATTTGTTTATATCATTATTTTTGGACTTTTTGGTTTCTCTGTCTGGTTTGGTATTCGGGAGTCTTTGCCCCGGGAACACAAAAAATTGAAGAACGACATTTGGATAGACTATTTATAAATTGTCAATAAACTTTGGCACCTAAATTGAAGCTTGTTAATTTGGGTTGGTAAATTGCAAATAGATCAATATACTGTACTTCAGTAACGGGAACGAGCACTAAAACTTGAACGTTATATATAGAGAGTGACGGCTAATAGAACGCTATTTAAATAGAAGTCTGGTATACCCAAAGGTAACATCTTAGATGCCTGAATCCTTCTCTCCACCAGCGAATTACCATTATGCTTAAGTTGTCGTCATTACTGTTTCCGGATGATGTCGAAATCTGGAGAACACTAAGAATTAAGGCTGATAATTTTGATCTTCAAGCTGACCTAAACGAAGTAATTGGATGGTCTCGAGGTCGAGGCTTAGAAATTAACTCTAGAAAAAGTGTGCTCAGACACATCGGACACAGTACTAGTTATCAATATGATATAGACAGAAAATCTTCCATGAGCGGGGTTCCGTTTTTTCATCGAGTGGATAAAACTGGAACGCCTTGCCTAAACAAGTGTTATCAGCCGCATCAGTGAACATTTTCAAGTAGAAGCTGGACCTTCAGTGAAAAACAACCTGTTAACATTAACATAGGTTTGCCAACGTACTACTCTTATTACTTAAGACTGAGGAAATTTTGAAGCGGTTTATTTGAGGACTGTGCTACACGTGGTGGGTTTCGGATATAGGTTGCAATCCTTTCAACCAGTCGAATATAAAAGATATCTTTAGCAAAGTGTTCACAACCCACTTGTTAACGACGTATGATTATTTTGCGATTCCCGCCACGTTTATATTTCAATAAAGTAATTATTTTTTAAGTTTGATCTACATTATAGCTACGCCCAATTCGAGTGATATTTCAGCTTTAGCAACAACGTGTGTATTCAGCGGCATGACTTTATCTTTTTAGTAAGATATAGGGTAGTGGTTTTGTGTGACAGCGTGGGTACAGCTCAGTCCCCCATCTCGGGGAATTTTCCAAACCTTGGGAAATCTTTGGGTTTTTGTGCCAATTTTCTCTAAAATATAGAGATTTGGAGATGTGACTAGTCGTAAATTTTTGGTTAGTTGGTCTTTTACCTTCCCAGGGTTTAACTCAGAATGTAGTGTTGAACGATCATAATCTGAAATCTTGATTCAGTGGCTGAGATTAGAAACGAAGTGTTATGTGTGTGTGAGGAATTCAAATTATGATTTACAGTTGGTGGTTAATGTTAGGAATTAGATTTAGGGTTTTCACCACAAATTCACATAAGCTACAATGCCAAGAGTCTATTTGGCCAAATGGTTGGGTGAATTTCGCTCCGAAATCCGATACCTGTTACATTATACGTCTCGTGTTTGCCTGTTATTTAATGCATATGTAATTGGTTTTAACCGACGCTTTAAGCAATGTACGAAACTAGCTAGCGTTTCCAATAATTTATGCCAAACTTATGCCATAAGATACCGAATAGTATTGACGAAACTGTGTTGTATTAAGTGACAGGGTAACGTTAGTTAACGTAAGCTTAAGATCACAGAACCTACTGTATATCCTAGATATAGGTGTATTTATTTGTGATGGCAATCACTATTTACCTTCAAAAACATTGTATATTGACTTCCTCAAAAATTAATTCAGTTATATCAGACGCGCAACAGTTCTGTGATCTTTTGAAAGCTTTAACAATGGAAATCATATTACTGCCGTTGTTGATTGGTTATCTATTAGTCCAGCACATGACATTTAATATTTTCTGCATAAATCCCAAATTTCGCAACCAGTGAGGTATCTGAATAAATTACTACGTTGTCCTAAAGTCATTTTCCTCTAACCAGGTTACTTATTCACACCTGACAAATTTTAAACTATTATTGGCTACTTCGTGTTTTCCCTGTTCAAAACCATACTAACTAGTCCATTCCTTTCAGCTTTAATATGTTGCCTCTATGATAACCCTTACTTTAAATTTGCTCGATACCATAGGCATTACGAAAATGACAAGACAATAGCGTCATATGTGCTGTTAAAAATGAGTTGTAGCCAGTCATAATCAACTTAGAGATATAACCTAGATAAATCTGACAGTTTTGGAAAACAGTTAATATTAAAGTATTTAAGCCATTCAGTCATTTATAAGTAAAATCAAAATATCCCGTGGACCTAATGTTTGTAGATAGTACAACTTTTTTCTCATTGCAAAACATGTACTATTCAGAATACAGATAACCCATTTTCTCAGTGTCGATAGTGCTTTCAGTTTCTAAACTATTACTGTTTTGTAAATCTCTTTGTCAGTGCCGATTTTACTTTGCGGGTGCTCATCCATTTATTTTATTGTTAGAACTAGGATAATTTTATCTATTTCAAACAACTGAAAGATATTTGTGGAATGCCCGGTTGACTTCCTGATTATCCACCTGGTTGATGGAAAGCCCAGTTCTGAACTTTAAATTGACTTGGAAAGATGCATACCACATAAGATAATTTTTTTCATTTAGGGTAACACATGATATTTTTGGTCCATTGAACGTTTATCAGCTGACTTGTTCTTAATTAATATCTGAGTAGTTTACATAGGTCATATATGTTGCTAGGTTTTAGTGTTTATTTTATATTTCTTTATATCCATGTATACGCTCGTTACTTTATTCTCTTTCCTATTATTTTCAGTCCTTTTTTATACGTTATTCATGCATTTTTTAAAACTTATTTTCTAAACACCTCTTCTCCATACCCACAAATTTCTAACAAACTGCTTGACCACCTGGGTAGATTTCATGCAATTATTTCACTCTTGTTCATTTACGTTTATTGTAATCCTACCAACCGAAGCGGTCTTATTGTTCAAAACAAACGGTTCTACTTGTAAAATCTGATGTGTAATTACCCAGAAATACGTATATGGGACAATTTTTTGTTTTCGAATTATCATGATAGGAATATTCACATTAAAATTTTAATGTTATATAACTAAAAATGTTGACTTTAACCCTTCTGTGATTTCCAAGTATTCATCATAAATAATCTTTGTTTATTTAGAATATAAATCCATGTAAGCTTATTATATTTTCCAAAACACTGATCGTAAGTCTCTACCATTTAATTACATATTTATGCTGTAGATATAGGCGTCCTTTTATGTTTGAAGACTTCTATCATTCAGTTGATTTTTGATGTAAAAATTAAACTCCGGTTACTCTATTTGTGTATGAAACCTAAGGAAGCGGTACGTATTTGTACTGTTCATTCTTTTTATGTTCAATATATTCATTAATACTGTTAACTTGTTAAATTTGCTTTCACTTCAGCAACTTTACTGAATTACTTGATATACGTTATGAACACGGAAGTGGGTAGATTAAATGCGTACAAAGAAAAAACTAAAGTTGATGGTGAAGAGCTAGTACTCAATGTCTTTCCAAAACGTGTATTTGAAATGGAAGACATATTAGCGTCGGACATGTTTTTTCTAGGTAAGTCTTGTGAATAATTTTTCCTCAGATAAATCAGCAATGTTTAGACATAAGATCTCTTAAAGATATTCAAAAACACTTATCCCCAGATGTGAAGAGATATTCTTAATTTACTTGTGCGTATTGCTTTTGTGTGTGTTGGGCTTTAAAAAATTTCTTCTGAGACTCTAAATCTTATCTTTAAAGCCTAGTCTTTACAATCACCACTCGTACTGTTGTTACTAACTCCGTTATTCTGACCTGACAATTTCATGTTTGAGCTAACGGTTTGTTGCAACTTGGACCGGTGTACATACGAACTGGGTTCTACATTGTGACTGACTGACTGACTGAAACCTTGAAGGTAAACGCTCCATGTACCATTTTAGGTAATGCAGATTAATTCCATAGTCACTGACTTTTTATCATTCTGATTGTATATTGACCTCTTAATGTCAATATTTTCCCTCAGAATAGTGACTTTTATGTCACGTTTCGTGATTAGCTACAATATTAGATTGATTAACTAATTATCTATTATCAACGACAATACTTAGTAACTCTATTTATTAACTCATAATATTCACGATTCTAAATGACACATTTTTATGATCGATGTTGATGGAGTTTAGTAAACGTCGTTTAATTACTTGTGGACACATAAGAGGACTTCCTTTTAGTTTATATCAACGATTGCACCTATTTTTGGATTCATCTTAATTTCTACTGTTGTCACTAAATAATTATCAGTTTGTTCTATCGATTGCACAATTACAATGTATGCTTTTGTTTTCTACCTGAAATATGTGCTTTATATGTTGTGAGAGATCGATCAGTCTGATAGTCAGTTTGATGTACTGAATTTTTACATTAAAGTACGGAAGCAGTGAATTAGTGGTTAGAGCACTCCAGTTCCAAGCAACATATAGAGGGTTTAGATCCCGCTCCAACTAACTTTAGTTTGAACGACCGGGTAGTTTCAATAGCCATTACACATTACTTCATGTTAACATAACGTATGAAGATAGCCTGTTATAAGCAATGCTACAATCTGACACAAATATGTATAGGTGACGTTACAAATTTTACTTGAGCGTGATGATTATATTCGGTATGGGTTTGTAGAGATTGTTGGATTTCACTGAAATCACAAACCGATTCCAATTTAGACTATTAAAAGCCTGAAAGCACTAGATGGCCGTTTCGTTCTAGTATGGGGATGCTCAGCAGTGCATATGACCATAGTTTTATTGTATTTTTAATCTCAAGTGTCATTAGTTTTTTATTTAGATTTTTTGTCATTATTAAATTATTCATCATTTGTTTAGAGGGAAAGTATGTCCATTCTGATGTGAATATACCTTATCCTATTAATCCACATAATTCGTTGCCTCCTGGTGATGATATGGATTCTGGTTTAACCAATGCTACAGATAAACCGACCAATGATAAACAACAGTTTCCTAGTAAAGGTTCTTTTGTCTACGCCTTACCAAATGGCTCTGTGTCATATAATAAACATATCAAAGCTATGATAGAGGTCAGTGTCTATTTTGATGAATTTAACGTTTAAAATATGATACTCCCTGGTAATATTTCAGACAGTTGTTTCTTTTTGACAAACTACACTCTGTCGCTATTTGTTATATTTCATGTATATCTGCTTGATATAATTAAAAAGGAAATAAACCTAGTCAATATCATCAGATACGCATATAGGGTTTAGTTAAGTTGAATATCACTTTACATCATCACCATAATAGTAAATGAAAACAATGACGTAAAAAGAATCATGGGGTCAGTAGCCGTTAAAGTTCAAAAACACAAAAACTGAGTGATAAAATACATCGATCTGAAGATTCGAAGAAATGAAACGTGGTTAATTTTTCATCAATATGTCCGATTTCGCTGAATATCGGCAAAAATCCTTTGCTGCAGATTACATTTATCTCGTTGTGTTAAATATGAATGGGATCTCTGAACAAAACTTATGAGAAACCAATTCAATATCGTTTGGAGGTGAATTCAAGGTTAAATTTCAATACATTTTCATTACATTAATTTATGGACTTTGACAAATGATTAATTAATTTATTTTGTGAAGAATTTAATTACATATTATCATCATTAAAATTGATGAATAAAGTAGTAGAAGCTATAAGAATATCGACAGTATCATTTTTCCATTGTCAGCGTTTATTAAAATAATATTTTTATTTAAAGTTCATTTGGTTTTCTAGGTCAACCAAAATTTTAGATAACATTAAGACGTTCAATTAAATTTATCAACCCATAGGGGGGTCCTACTCTTTTTCAACACATTTTTAATTTCTTTTACACTGACAATAAATTTACATGATTTCCAATATAAAGGGAAAATTTCATTTTGAAACTAATAATGGATAAAGGTGTATAAAACTATTTAATATTAATAATCATATGAGAAATACTACCGCCGGAATAAAAGTAAATATGGAATGGTTTGGTTTTTTGAAAAGGACTTCTGTCACAAGGATGCTAAACAAATATTGTTAATTTAAAAGTTAATTTTCCATCTGAAATCGATACCGGTAGAACTGTATTTTATAACTTGAAAAAGTTGGCTTATAATTCATATTTGAACTTCATTTCCTTGTACAGGACCTAGTGTCAGGGCATTTGATCGCTTTATCAGTAAATAAACATTGTATTCAGTTTTTAAAAAAAAACCGTATTTTATCAATCTGCACCTATCCATTACGGATTTTAAACTACTTTGCCAGTTGTTTATTTCAATGGAAAATACCAGCTACTCTGTAAAATGTAAGATACAAGTTCATTAAAAAATATCTATTACTGCATGCATTCAAATGACTCAAGAGCAGATTAAAGCACGTGTTTTGTATCTGTATGTTTTCAAATTGTTCACCTGAACGATAATGACGGGTAAACTTACCCCCATTTTCAGTAGTTACTTCTAATTCTATATACATTTATTTACTAAGCTAAAAAAGCTCAACTTCAACTTAATTGTCAATGAGTGAGACTTCTTATCTGCTGGGTAGTGACAAAATCCAAGTTTTGTTCAGAAAATTTATTCTATCAACTAAAAGAAAGATTATATAGCAGACAACTTGAGTGTATATATTTATCTGCAACCCTATAGGGCTAGTGTAACAAAATTGCATCCTACATCATAAACAAACCAACTAGGGTAACATCTTCCTTTTAAGTGAGACAAACGACAAACGAGAAAGGCGATGAATTCAAATTCACATTAACTAAACTACAGGAGGGTAAAGTTTACAAGTTATTTCGGAGATCCATCATTACCCAACAGTGTCATGGATATTATTCTTCACACAATTGAGACATTTACGTTTTGATTTTTAAAAAATCGTAAGTTTCTAGCGGTTCAACTGTGGACTGTGATTTATAGTGACATGAAACTTTTATGGCATCCCACTATAATTCTTTATTTAATTCCTTCACATTTCAGTGATTGTATCGTTCTTAGTTCTTATTTTTCTACCTACAAGTAAGACCTTTAATCATGAGTGACGTAAGAGTTTTATGCCAATGGTTTCATACTCAGATTTGTTAGATATTTTTTTGTTTTTTTAAGTATGTAGGAAGAAAAAGTTAATTTAATGATCAATATATCTTTCAACCAATAAGTCTGTAAAACACTTATGCTTTAGGCTAACATCAGAGATTCAAAGCTCATGAAATGAATTTATTATTTAATCTAACTAACCAGTTTTTATCATACTTCTACTTTCTAAGAAAACCAAACCATGTTTAACTCAACTTATGATTGAAGCTCAACTTGTTCGTTTATGGGTCCAATTTAATATACCACGAATTGAAGATGGAAATAATTTTGGTGTAGGAATACAAGAAGAGATTTTAGGTGAAGCATCGGGTATCGAGAGGGATGCATGTACTTTCTTGGATCAAGTCACAAGGTTTGTTTATATTCTCTACTTTTTCAATCCTCCCATATATATGTAAAGGGGTTTTCTGGAGATTGGTTTAATTTGTAGGTAGTATTTGTTACAGATTGAGTACAGTTGGGATACAAGACAGCCGTTTCGTCCTAGTATGGGCCCCTCAGCCGTGTGCACTCACAACCCCCCGAGAATCAAACTCAGGACATTCAGGCTTTGTGGCGAACGTTCAACCATTAGGACCACTGGGTCAACATCCAGTGGTACATTTCTAGCCTCAATCAATATATCATATAGCATGACGATTGTCTAATGCTGTTGGTAACACCGTCATTCCAGATATGTTTGAACCCCACTACTCACAAATTCTCATTAAACTCCGGGAATGTTTTGAAGTAAGTCACTGGTGAGCTGACTGTTATAGTTTGTTCAAAGTGGATTTGTGGAGATCAGTTAAATTTGTAGGTAGTATTGGTCACAGATTGATCTGATTTTGGGTACTTCTGAAAGCTAGGGAGGATTGAACAAAATTTTCGTCCCGGTTTGAGGTAGTACTCACTTATGACTGCACAAAAGATCAATCCTCAGATTAGCATTGTCTAGATCGGTTTGTTATCATTGCTATCTGCAAATATATATATATATATATATATATATATATATATATATATATATATATAGTGCGAGTGATTGTTATGGAGTGGTTTCGGCTGTAAAGGTATTCTAAACAAGGCAGTGGTGAATAGCTGTTTCATCCTGATTACTAGTATCCCACAGTAGTGCACACTTGCGATCCAACCCTTCACTCCGTGATAAAGCAAATCTCCTCAGCTGATCAGGCTGTATATTTATACACTCGATTTATAGATTATATTTATTCATTACAGGTTGAGAATATGAAATTGGGTTTCCTTCCTCGTTTATAGACTTCTTGCTTTTGGTTGTTGGAAATATTTTAATGATGCTGATATAAGAGGATATAACAAATTAACCCACTCATTAAAAATCTTGGAAAAGTCTCTTCTTTAAAATCATTGTTTTCCTTTAGGAATTCCATTTTATTCTTGCCTTGTTCGAAATAAGCGTTTAATATCTCATGAAAACTGACGCTTCTTCTATCATCTAGTTTTAAAGCATATTTATATGTTGACAACTGGATGACGGAGTGGTTTTATTTGCTCTCATATATTAAAGGTGCAACTCAAAGCCTCGTGTTATATATAAATATATACCTGATTAATGAGTTTATTACATTGATTAGGCATTAGTTAACTTTCTTATGAATAATAATCCTTTATATAACGGGGTGATTATTAGAAAATCTGAACTTTCGGAAATGTCTCATCTGAAGTTATTGCTTTTATTTTTGCTCTTTAGTTATTAAATGCTTAAATTATTGCATTTTTATGTTTTTCTGCCTGTAAGCTTTCTCCTAATGCATAAACTGTTACTATGTGCTGGAAAATGGCCTGAGAACAATGAACCAATGGGAGCTAAGGTTAACGGTGCAGGCTGTAGATTAAGTATTGGATACAGGATAGTAAAAACTATTGTTAGAATTGTGATCAGTGATTTTGACATAGGGTACCAATCAACGTACTCAAGCCATAACAGTATTCAGTTGATATTTATGCCTTGTTTCATTCATATCATTCTAACACAGGATACAGAATTGTTTTCTTATTCAGGTAGTTTTTTTTTCAAATTGTATTTACTTCTGTGCTTGTTGATACTTGAATTTTATTTCCTCTCTTTTATCCCTTATACACAGATATTATGCCTCAAGAGGGAAATTAGTGGGTAAAGTAGCAAAATATCCTCATATTGAAGACTATCGTGAATGTATCCGTGATATGGATGAGAAACAAGCAATAACAATGCGATATATTATCATGGAAATTCGTAATCACTATGTAAGCGTTAATGTCTATTTATTCATCATGCAAATAAAATCATTTTCATTTTTACTCATTAATACTATTACTTCAAATAATTTAGAAGATATCAAGATTCATTATTGCAAACTACTTGCGATTTATTCACATGAATATTGGTACAAGAGAGCGCCAATATATATGCGCCACACAAAACAATGAAAATTCGACGAGAAGTAGAAAAAAAAACTAAGGAGCGCAAAAGAAAAAGAGAACAATAACGAAGAGATTGGTGTAAGGTGGTGTAGTAATAATGGTAAAAATGGGGAACGGAAAGGCACAATCAGAAGAAATCTTTCAGTTAAGGAAGACACAACCATTTTTTATGTAGAAAGTAAAAGACGGTTACAGCAGGATCGCCACTGGCTTCTATTCTGAGCCATATCTGATAACGTCTCTAGCCACTGTGTAGCACCATCTCTCAGACCCCAACCAGGGAGTCGTGAAGGACCAACAGAAGCCAGTCCTTTGCAGCTTTCTTTCATACCACGACACCATGCCATACACTGACCACCTCTCCGCTTTTTCCAACCAGTCCCAGAGTTGGCGAATAATGCACGACGTGGAATTCTCTGGGACGACATTCGTAGAACATGTCCAAGCCACCGAAGTCGGTGTTTCAAGATGGTGACACCAATTGGATTATCGTCTCTGTGCCCGAACACACGATGCCGAACCTCTGCATTACTGATATGGTGTTGCCACTGGATGTCAGCAATCCTTCGGAGACAGCGATGATCGAACACAGAGAGTCGTCTAACGTCCTCAACTCGGAGAGACCAGGTTTCACAAGCATAGAGCAGAACTGCTCTCACCGACGCGTTGTAGATCCGACCTTTTACAGCCAGACTGATATCACGAAGGCGCCAAAGATGGCCCAGATTGGCATAAGCCGCTCTGGCTTTCACTATTCGTGCATTGATCTCATCACTCACACCCCCACCAGCACTTATGCAGCTACCCAGATACACGAACTTCTCGACTACGTCTATCTGCTCACCATCCAGAGTGAGTACAGGATTGGAATGCTGCCAGTCTTGTAGAAGTACTTTGCACTTCGAAGGTGCAAAGCACATACCATACCTACGGACACTGATTGCCAACTGATTAAGTGCGTATTGCATGCCTTGGGCATTATCGCACAGTAAGACAATATCGTCCGCATACTCAAGGTCGAGAAGTCTTTCTCCAGGCAACAGATCCACACCACCATTACTTACATTCATCAGAGCTGTTTCCAGAATGTCATCGATGGCAAAGTTGAAGAGGAATGGTGAGATTGGGCAACCCTGTCTAACCCCACTGCTTGAATGGAACAACGGAGAGAGGTGGTTGTATGCCCTCACTCTGCCTGAGGTGTTTGTATATAGGGCTTTTAGGATGTTAATAAACTTCTCAAGCACACCCTTCTTCAATGGACAATCTCAGAGAACAATCCTGTCCAACGAATCGAAGGCAGCCCTGATGTGAAGAAACACTACGATTGTTGGCCTTTGATAAGTATGACGGTGTTCTAACATTTGGCGAAGGGTGAAGATATGATCAATACATCCTCGACTAGAACGAAAACCAACCAGCTGCTCGCGAGTCAATCTTTCTCGGGTTTTGAACAACCTACGAAGCATGACGGAAGCCAATAGCTTGGACGCAATCGTAAGTAGACTTATCCCTCGATAGTTGTTACAGGAACGACGTGAACCCTTTTTAAAGATAGGGACAACTATCGACTCATTCCATGACGTTGGTACACTCTGTAGTTCCCAGACTTTTGCAATTAGCACAGTCAGTTTCTGAACCAGAAAGTCACCGCAATCTTTAAAAAGAGACGGAGGTAAGTCATCTGGACCAGGTGATTTGTAACGCTTCAAGAGTTGGAGTTCCTTGCGGACTTCCTCCTCGATTGGTGGATCAGTCGTCACCGGCCATGGAGGGCAGGACGGTCTGACCGATGTTGCCGGAGCAGCAGGCCAGTTGAACTGCCCTTCGAAAAATTCTGCCCACCGTCCAAGACGTCGATGGATGTTAGTGATTGGCATCCTATCATCCTCGCAGATTGTTTCACTCACACCAGACTTCTTGCTGCCAGTGGCTCGGATGAACTGGAAGAGCTTCCGGTAGTTACCAGATGCAGCTGCTGCTTCCAGCTCATTAGCACGCTTCGACCACCAGGCTTCTCGGTCCTTACGCAAGCTTTGCCCAATTTCCTCACGTAACATCCTTCGTTTATGGTCAAACTCACGGTCACCCAAAGTAGACCGACGGGCTTCAATGAGTTGTAAGGAACCAGAAGAAACCCAGTGCTTAAAAGCGGGACGTTTCGCAAACCCACAACTGACTTTTCCCGCCATTTTCATGGCGTCATGCAATTGCAACCAATGCTCATCTATACTTTTCGGTGGAATGGTAGCTAGCATAGAAACTAGCTCGGTTCGATACTTACTTGCAACAGAAGTTGCAACCAGCTTGCTAACATCAATCCGTTGATGGCGGTCACTTCGTTGTCCACTGAGAAGTAAGGCAAGATTGGCGCAGACCAAGGCATGGTCAGAGTCCAGATAGGTACTCCAAAAGGAGCGGCAGTCTTGTACACAACCACGCCAGCGGTAGCTGATCGCGATGTGATCAATCTGAGTCCAGGCTTGAGATGCAGTGGGAGGACGCCAGGTGGCACATCGGCGATGACTGTGTCGGAAGATAGTGCTAGCCAGAAACAGGTTATGGTCTGTGCAAAGTTGCAGTAGACGGTCCCCGTTATCTGACCTGCAACCAACGAGTCCCCATCGGCCACCTAAACGACTCTCTTCTGTGCCTAGACGCCCGACCTGAGCATTTAAGTCTCCGGCTAGTACTACAATATCTGTCGAACGCACTTTCTGGAGAAGAACAGTTAACTGGTTGTAGAGTTCATCTTTGATTGCATCCGGGCTGCAATCTGTCGGGGAATTGGCGGAGATGACGAAAAGACTCACTTTGATGGGACTTTCTAATCTAACAGCACATAACCGACTGTTAATGGGGATCCAATCGACTAGTGCTGCCTCAGCTCTAGCACTTAGTGCGACACCAACGCCAGCGAGACCAGACGAAGATGCCATAGGGTCCCCGGATAAGCGCACGTAAAACAAGCTTTTCGAAGCGACAGATGGAGATCGAATTTGTAGTACTTCACCAGAATCTTGAATATGGGTCTCGGATAGACAACAAACATCAATATTAAGACTTTCCAAAGACATAGCCAGCCCTATCTGTTGTCCAACCTACATAAGTGTGCGAACGTTGAAGGCAGACAGTTTGAATGGTGCACGTGGTTTCACAAAAACTGCTTCAGTTCTCGTATTCGGTGGTAACATACAATTTTCAACCGGACAGTGACTCGAGAACGTTTAGATACAGTCGAATTTCCACCAAAGACGAGCCGCTGTATAAGTATAAAAGAGGGTGAATAATGTGGAAAATAATAATAATAATAATAATAATAATAATAATAATAATAATAATAATAATAATAATAATAATAATGACAATAATTGTAATGATAATAATTTGAATCAATTGATTGTTTTTCGAAGCGAGAAAAATAATTTCCATAGACATAAAGAGTTCATCATTTGTGTGTGGGCTGTGATACTGCCCGGGTGCCCAAACCGAAGCAGGTGGTTATCTTAGGGGGCCACACCCCGAGCCTTTGACCTAAAGGTCTAACCCACAAGGCAGTGGAGCATCGTAAGGAGATGCAATCCCACGGTAGCCGGTGACCAACGATTGGTTCATACGCCATTTGTTCCCTCAGGATACTGGAGCCCATGTGCACCATTGATTTGTGATCCGGTTAAAGCACAGGACATTCGCTTTTCGTCCTCTCATTTTCGTAATCAACACCCCCGCCTCGAGAAGGCAATGAGTAGGACTTCCCTGGCAGAGGCTGTATACGCGTGGCCGTGTGAGAGTATTTCGAGAGGGAGAGCGGACTCTCCCCACTCTCGGCCGTACCAGGGCATTCAGGGGGCTGCGATTTATTCAGTACATAATGATTATGGGTATCATTACCAAGGTTTGATTTGATAATTTTGAATAAACTGAACATTGGTTAGATTGTTATAAATAAATTAATATATTTGTAATATCCCAATAAGTAGAAAAATTATATTTTGTGACGTTTCGTGACTCAGTGTAAGCCACTTCTTCAGAGAATAAATAACCAAGTCGAAGTTAATCCAAGTTTAAACAGTACAAAGGAACAACACGAGAATTTTTATGTGCGATCAATCAAAAAATAGGTCTGGACAAACCACCTAATAATCCCGTAGAACTGAATAGACTTCAAATCAAATCGGCAATAGCAGTTCACGCAATTTTCAAGAACGACTAAATCGATTTACATATTGATTATCTCTGACTTTCGTGGAACTTTCTTTTCACGTCAGTCTCATAAATGTCTCTTCTGGTTATTCATTAAAAAGGACTAAATTTGCATCGTGCTAGTGGTTTATGCCAAAGAAAAATATCATTCGTTAGATATGGGCGAATAATACGGCTATTTTCTTACTGTGGAGTAAAATCTGTTTTTATTTCAGACTTCAATGTTGTCACTCTGTATAAATGTTGTTAGACTGTGTTCCGTCTATCTAATTTAATTTGTTTGCGTCTAAGAACTTGTTTACAGTTATTTGTCAGTGCCTCCAAAAAAACGGAGTTTTAATCTGGTTTCTTAAAAGTACAAGTTAACTAATCACAAAGTAAATGTCTAACATTGACAATTAATTGTTCTTCCAATATATTTCTAAGTGAATAGTTGTTTCGTATATAACATGTATTTGTCATTCGGTCGATTCATTTTTGTAAAATACTTTGTAGAAGATGTACCTTTTATTCACTGTCTAACTTTCAGTATTATCCAGTGATTAGATGTTTTTGTAAAGTATGAAAACCATATACCTTCATCTAATTTTTTTCAATTAGAAAACATCTAAACACCCTGTAGCTAAGATTGACGAATATGTTTATTGTGAATTCAAAAGTTACAAAATCAAGGTAGAATCTTCTTTTATTAACATATGTATTCAGGTATAAACCGGACTTGTAAAATGTGTTAAACTCGAGAGTTGATAGTAAATTCAATAATTGCTTAATATTATTTAATTTATTAGAGATTTATAACCAAATTAATGATTATCAATTGAAGGTTGCTTACGACATGAGAAAGTTTTTCATTCAAGAGTGATGACGTAGATTTATTTTAATATATCATGCATCAATATATAATAGCCTATTTTTTCTACTGTTTTAAAATTTGCAGGCCACCTTGCATGATATAATAATAAAAAATCTGGATCGTATAAAAATGCCTCGTTCCAATAATGCGATCAATATGTACTAATTCACGAAACCCAGATTTAGTTATGTGTTTGCTCACATTATAAGATTTTGATTGTATGTAAATACATACGTTTGAAACGTATTTGAAAGCTTTTGTTTCTATATGCTGTTTCTGCTTGCGATCTTTATTTGTAACCTGAAACGATGATCCTACATGCGTATTTATACAATTTGTAAGACGAAGGCAGTTTCAGCATTTAACATTTCCGTTTGCATATCAATTCTAACAAACCGTTTCATTCTTTAAGTTTCGTAAAATCGCTTTTCACTAATAAATAATTCACTAACAAAGGCAAAACATTTATCTTAATGTTAAGCAACCCATCCTAATTGCAGCTTAACTGTGGGTTCCATAAAAGGCTGAACATAGTGTGTTGTCAGATTTGCTGTCTCTTTGTGGGATACCGTTTAGCATATTTTCAATTTAAAATTAGGGGATGCAATGGTAACTAGCTATATGGTCTATGCATTTAACCCACTATAAACTAACTTCACTATTATGATTCCTGTGGTTATAAATAATCCAGGTGCTCTTCGGAGCTCCATATTAGTGGCTTCGTAATGAAAAGAATTGCAGTCGTTTGATACTGTAAGATCCATTTTGAATGTTTTGTGTGTTGGTGAAAATCCTTCCATCTATGTACTTGTACTTTGTTCCTATTGATCCCCTTAGTTGTACACTGTTGTCTTTTGGTTACATTTGAATTGTTAATACTTGTATTTTTTATTATAGTTTTTGTTTTTTTACGCACTCACTAAGTTTGTGTTTCTTCCTGAACTGCATCTGTGTTGTTTTACTTGACACTTGTTCTTGGCGGTAGCCATATTGATTTGCTCCTCCTTTTGTGTGCGTTCTATCCAGTCAGGATAGAATAACGTTCATCTGTTGTGACTGATTCGATTGATTGAACAATTATTGGTTGAATAGCCGGGTGGTAATATTTGTTTAGAACTGCAGAATCCAAACTACGGTTTGGATAGAAGAATAGCCGACCGGGGACTTTAGACACGCGCTATTTACCCGATTACTTGTTTTGATTTCGACGGGAAAGGGCGCGTGTCTAAAGTCCCCGGTCGGCTTAAGGAAAAAAGAGAATAATAAGGAAGAGATTGATGTAAGGTGGTGTAGTAATAATGGTAAAAATGGGGGAACGGAAAGGCACAATCAGAAGAAATCTTTCAGTTAAGGAAGACACAACCATTTTTTATGTAGAAAGTAAAAGACGGTTACAGCAGGATCGCCACTGGCTTCTATTCTGAGCCATATCTGATAACGTCTCTAGCCACTGTGTAGCACCATCTCTCAGACCCCAACCAGGGAGTCGTGAAGGACCAACAGAAGCCAGTCCTTTGCAGCTTTCTTTCATACCACGACACCATGCCATACACTGACCACCTCTCCGCTTTTTCCAACCAGTCCCAGAGTTGGCGAATAATGCACGACGTGGAATTCTCTGGGACGACATTCGTAGAACATGTCCAAGCCACCGAAGTCGGTGTTTCAAGATGGTGACACCAATTGGATTATCGTCTCTGTGCCCGAACACACGATGCCGAACCTCTGCATTACTGATATGGTGTTGCCACTGGATGTCAGCAATCCTTCGGAGACAGCGATGATCGAACACAGAGAGTCGTCTAACGTCCTCAACTCGGAGAGACCAGGTTTCACAAGCATAGAGCAGAACTGCTCTCACCGACGCGTTGTAGATCCGACCTTTTACAGCCAGACTGATATCACGAAGGCGCCAAAGATGGCCCAGATTGGCATAAGCCGCTCTGGCTTTCACTATTCGTGCATTGATCTCATCACTCACACCCCCACCAGCACTTATGCAGCTACCCAGATACACGAACTTCTCGACTACGTCTATCTGCTCACCATCCAGAGTGAGTACAGGATTGGAATGCTGCCAGTCTTGTAGAAGTACTTTGCACTTCGAAGGTGCAAAGCACATACCATACCTACGGACACTGATTGCCAACTGATTAAGTGCGTATTGCATGCCTTGGGCATTATCGCACAGTAAGACAATATCGTCCGCATACTCAAGGTCGAGAAGTCTTTCTCCAGGCAACAGATCCACACCACCATTACTTACATTCATCAGAGCTGTTTCCAGAATGTCATCGATGGCAAAGTTGAAGAGGAATGGTGAGATTGGGCAACCCTGTCTAACCCCACTGCTTGAATGGAACAACGGAGAGAGGTGGTTGTATGCCCTCACTCTGCCTGAGGTGTTTGTATATAGGGCTTTTAGGATGTTAATAAACTTCTCAAGCACACCCTTCTTCAATGGACAATCTCAGAGAACAATCCTGTCCAACGAATCGAAGGCAGCCCTGATGTGAAGAAACACTACGATTGTTGGCCTTTGATAAGTATGACGGTGTTCTAACATTTGGCGAAGGGTGAAGATATGATCAATACATCCTCGACTAGAACGAAAACCAACCAGCTGCTCGCGAGTCAATCTTTCTCGGGTTTTGAACAACCTACGAAGCATGACGGAAGCCAATAGCTTGGACGCAATCGTAAGTAGACTTATCCCTCGATAGTTGTTACAGGAACGACGTGAACCCTTTTTAAAGATAGGGACAACTATCGACTCATTCCATGACGTTGGTACACTCTGTAGTTCCCAGACTTTTGCAATTAGCACAGTCAGTTTCTGAACCAGAAAGTCACCGCAATCTTTAAAAAGAGACGGAGGTAAGTCATCTGGACCAGGTGATTTGTAACGCTTCAAGAGTTGGATTTCCTTGCGAACTTCCGCCTCATTGGGTGGATCAGTCGGAAATGGTGATCTCTCTCTGTATCTATGGAATCTAAGTTTACCAGTCATCATAAGAGGTTCACCGCTCAGTGTACATAAACGCGACTTGATAAGTATGCTTGACCGAACGCCCTCACCTAGTGGTAAGTTTAGCAAAACTAGTGAGGTCAGGTTCAGAGTGGATGACCTACAATACTGTTTACTTCGGAAGTTTACTAACCGCTTTAATTTTTTTTACTACTCATAGTTTTTCAAACGGTAGTTAGCTACATTTAGTAAACATGGACTGACATCTTGGTGCAGTGTGATGTGTTAAATTTCTGAATTCTCATAAATAACATCTTGGATAATGACTAACTGATCTCACAATATTTGTTAAGTTTCGCACAAACGTATTATTCAACTGTATGTTTAAGCTCGATTGAACGTATATTGCAACCAGAATGAAAATTTCCTCAAGTAGGTTGTGATGTCCCAGGTGTGTGTCTAAACATCCATTTTTGTTTCTCAACTAATGTACATTATCCGGCGTTTTTGCGCCTCTTCCTTTCACTTGGCTAATGGGCACTTTTGGGGATTTCCCTCAGTTATATGTAGATATCTACAATTATCTGCAAATGTGACCCTTTAGGTGATCCCCTTTAACCGTATTAAGAAATCAAACAAGACCAGATTTTAAGCTTAAAACGATACCTTCAGTGAGAATGATGATTCTATATTCAGTACTCTCTAAGTGTACAAAAATGTTCGAACTTTGACATTGGATACATTGAGCAGCGAAGACTATTTACCATACTAATTTTCAGATTCTTAATTAGTCTTTATCTGAGTATATCCGTTTCTAGGATGAATGAAGCGATGTACGGCCTAACGAAAATCCAGTGTATCGCTCTACGTCAAGCCGCCATGGAATGACCCACAGGTCATCATGCACAATGTTTAGTTACCCAGTAACTGAAGACGTCTTCTTTTGACGGTCATTTCAAGTTGCGGCAAGTGGTCTAATTTTCACTCTAGTATCGGCAGCTAGGCCAAAATCTTAGTCACGTATATGATTACTAACAGGCCTCTATTTCCACTAGCTGCATCTGCCGTCGGTACGTTCGGCGTAGTTGTCTTTCTAAGCTTTAGTAGCAGTTACGTATTTTTCTTCATGTTTCAGACGCTTCATTCATGTGATACTGTGCTGTTAGCATCCAAATATTTCATTTTTAATTTCGTTATGAAAGCAATCTCTCAGTTAGCATTTTTATCCGTTGAGTTCCCAGTAGTTCAATATTATTTTGCAAGCAACAAAAAGGAAGCTGAAGACTGCTTGTGATTTGTGTAATATCTGAGGCTTTGCTGTGATTATTCATACATTGATGGGTAGGTTTTTGTGGCCTCCGGAACTATTCTGAAGAGGAAGCGGCTGTAAGAGACTGAAGAGCGAAAACTGTCATATAAAAGCTTCATAAGACCTCATTTGTTCAAAAACTCTTTCTTTCCTGTTGGCAAAGCACATCTTAGATATTTATTATGGAATGGTCAATTTAATCTTTGTAGATCGACCGGGTTTCTTCTATTAAGCACATATCTTTCAAGTAGTTCGTAAGAGTATCTGATGTGGACAGGTTATGTGTTACTTATCATTTTATTCTCCTCGTTTATTCAATATGACCTTAGAGAATTTAGCACTTGAGCTTCTCCAACATTCTCTCCAAAATTCATCTGTCGACAGAAGTGCTTCGGATATGTATCATTGTGTTTAAGCACAATAAGTTTTAGGGTAGTATCAGAGGAGTTTAGCTGACTCGGTTTAGGAGTTTCGTCAGTAACAATGAGTGTAAGTAGTGTATATCAGAACGCATTGGAATTCGGAGAAATTTAGGCTGGGATGAGATCTCAAACTAATGAGGTGAAAATGGAATGTACCACAAGAGCTATGCCTGCATTCACAATGTGCTTAGTCGACCGGCCTCAGCTAGTAGTGTCCGTTAGAAATAACACGGCAGGAATTAGTGCAGTATGTCTATAATACCCTCTTTTTCCAAATTTACTTACAAATACATTGACAACTATATTTTGGAGATCTAGGCAATTTGTAAGCACTGAATTAAGATTCATGAATTCATTATGAGTAATTTATATTGCATTTCTATTCATTATTATCATTACAGTTAGTCACGAGAATACATGAACAAATAATAAGTAAGGGATAAACAGATTTCCTACAGGAAGTAAGGTCAAGTTGTATTTGGTTGGGTTAACCAACGTCTAAATGAATAATGTATTAGGTCCTGAATTTTCTGCATGATCGACCAGAGCCGTCTTTAATAAATTACCCATGCGTTGTGGGTTCGCTAGTAAATAATACTTCGTGGTATGTTTTTAACTGCGATCATAAATCAATCGAGGTTAGGCCGCCATTAAGAAACTGGAACCACTGGACTGTCGTTCTATCTTAGTATTGGACGTTTTAGCCGTGCGCATTCTCAACCATGCATGCGAGATTGCGGTCTTGCACGCGAAAGTTTAACATCTAAAACATTGAGCTAGCATCCAACGGCGCTAATGTCTAAATTTAACCAATCCACTAAATTGCACGACCATCTTCGATTGACCTTGATGGGAAACGCCCCACAACCGGCATGAAATAGCTCTACTAGTTACAGATTCTCTTTAGGACTCTGAAAATTATTTTTTGAATCTGGTCACCAGTGAGCACATGATATGTGTCTACAAATATGGTGCTGTTAAATTTTGCACATATTGGCAAGAAACCACTTCGTAAAAAAGAATAAACTACGTCAATGTTCATCAATATTCATTTCTAATTGGCTAGCTCACATTCATGTTATTATTGATAGAAGAACGCTCACTTCTGCGCCAGTGTCTACAAAGTAGCGATCTTTCGTAATCACGTCGTTGATGTGCATCACTTCCATACACGCCGGCTACAGTTGCCGTTTATGTGTAAGGGATGGGAAGTTTTCCGAAGCATCTTTCGCGTTGTACGGTTCGGAACTTAAGAAACTTCAGGTTTTTTTTACAAGTTCTAGAAGATTTCCTTATGTACTGTGGTATCAACATCAGCCAATGTTATTTACCTCTCGTAACCTAGAGACAGATGTTTTAGATGACGAGCCGCTTCGAGAAGTTTCAGAGCGTCTATGATTATGATGAATATTAAGATAACGAGTGAGAGTATGACAGAGTTTCGTAACGTCATTTTTCGTAGTGTGAGATTTTACTTTGACAGAATAAACCTCTGAGACATGGGTTCCGCTGATCTCCAGAATCAGATCGGCAGATGTAGCCAGTCCGTCTATGGTGCTATTTCGAAATGAGATAAGGACTTCCTGCACCTGTTGAGGAGGCTTAGACAAGAAAAGCTGTCTAAACAGGCCCTCGCCAAATGTCTGTTAACCAGTGAGCTCTCGCATAGGTAGCAACTCTTCTGTTTCTGAGCCATATTGCAGTTCGATGTTTGGGGAAAGTTGGTCTAACTTTTGTCGGTTAGATCTCCAAGTTTAAGGATAGCCTTCTTTGTAGTGTCGTAAGGTCCCGCAACATCACTAGTAAACATACTAGTTGTGACGTAACTTTTAATATTTCATAACAGTGTCTCCACAGCTGGCTAGTAGTTGCAAGAAAAAAGCAGCAGGACGTAACCACTCGTGATCTGGTGCTAATGAGTGCCATTCAGCACATTCAGCTTATGTGCGCCCAGTGAAACTGATGAGGTCAGTATCAATGTTGAAGACTTAGAGAACTATTTATTTTGGGGATTTATTTACCGCTACATTTTTGTAATATTAAGCTTCCGAATTTAATCAAGCGTTTTCTGACTTTTACTTCAAGATTAACGTAACTGATGTTAGTTTTTACCTCTCGTAAGTAAGTTTCGGTGAAATGAATAGAATAATCCACTGAACAACATGGCATGCTGTCCAAATGTCTTCTTATTGTTTGTTTAAGTACTTGCAATTAGAGGGTATTTGGTATTTTGTTAACACCAAGGAAAGTTGGTAATAACGCTTGTGTGCTTCATATTGAATGGTTTTGGATATTTTTATACCTCAAGTTTTTACAGTAATTTTTTGACCGTTTGAAATTCTCGAATTATTCACTAAAAGCAACGAATTGTAATCTTGTAATATTGAAATGGGCGTGCCTGACATCTATCAAATGTAAATTACAATCCTTTTCTATAAGAATCAGTAGCTCTTGCATTTTTAAAAAAATTGACTGTCGAGTGGTGCTACTATCCGGTTTCTGGAATTAGTAGATGTCATCATGCCTTATTTGAATGGTGAACCTTTCGTTAAACGGCAGCCACCAAGTGATCTCTCAATAGACGAAGAGTTATTTTTCCTGCCCACTACGTTGGAAGTTTTTCGTGACTACGAGTAAGTTGATGCCTCTTTTGCATTATTTAACTAAATCCTAATGTCTTAAAGTATTAGTACTGTTACTGTCATGCCATTAGTGTTTTTAATGCATCTCACAAGATTTGTATACAACATTTGAAACGATTAATCAGAAATAAGTACCTTAGCATTTGACTACCCTGGTTGTAACGAATAATAGTGTATGTATTCAGATGTTTGGAATGCTCCAAAAGTCTGATTCTCAGTTAGTAGTATTTTTTCTATACATTTTCATTGTGAGGTGCCACAGTGGTTAATGTCGGTTCAAAATGTTTACTTGTCTCTTTTTTACTGAAGTGAGTATGATTTCGCGTGTGTGACTTTATTTGTTTGACATTCGAAGTATCTCAGATGTATTTCCGAGGTTAATTGGGTTACTAAACACGAAGGATTTCACTACCATTCGACTCACTTTCCTTTTAAATATGGATTACGTCATATGTCAGAGGATGTGATTACGGTTACTATTTAGAATTCAACGTGTGTGGGTGAATTGTAACGAGCCTCTTGCAATTCAATGTCAGGTAATGCTTTACAACTCATCCACAAAAAGCTGTTTGTTACTCATTATGACTCCATCAGGCAGTTCGTGAACTACTAGATTGCTAGCTCAAATCTCACCACACTTACCATATACATCGAGATAGTGTCATTTAGAAGTTCTTGGAAGCACTGAAGTAGTCCTAGAATGGTGTATAAGAGGTACTAATTTACTATCAGGTTTACTAATAGGATACTATGAACTTCTCCGAGGTTGTTTTCTGATCAGCCTGTTCATAGGTTGGTTTGGGTGTTTCCGGCTTTCTGTAGTGGCTCACATAGTCCTGGTTATCTTATTGACAGCATACGATATCTCGAATTCAAGTAAATGAGTTTCATTAAAACTAATATAATAATGATTTATCCTATCATCAATGCCTTTATACTGCTTCTAAACAGGTGGCTTATTAATAATTATACGACACTCACCAAGTATAGGTTTGTGTACTTCGCTTTGAACCACTTCTGTGAGTGCTGGTTATTTTAAACGGATGCCTATACTGAAGTAGGAGCGGAGCTCGGGCCTGTAACCTGTTGGATAAAAACTGAGCCCGTTTAGCTGTTAAACCACCTCTCTGGAGGAGGTTTCTAGTGTCTTGTTCTTTGGACTTGATAGACTAGTCGCTCTGAAAGACAATGAAATTTTCATAATTGAGCCACCTAACTCAGAGAACATATCACCTTTTTAGTTGTCCTTGTTAGAATTTACCGCTTTGACTTTTGATTTTCGTAGAATTATTTCTAATTTTTAATTTCGCCGTTTTCTCATGGTATGATATTCTATTACATCTATAAGTTGATATGTAAACCTTACTTAGTTTGGATGAATATAGATTTGCAAATTTATAGTAGTAATATTAGTTATTGGTTACTGTTTGTTTACATTGGTCATGATCTTTATGCAGTGATTATGACTGCTATTTAGGTTTATTAGTCTATGTTTGAAATTTCTGACTTTTCAGTGACTATTTCGAACGTACAATTCTTGTAAATAGTCTAACATGGACTTGTTCAGTGTGTAATAGAGGACCTTCCACTTACAAAGAAGCACTGGCATGTGAGCGTGGAGACTATCGGCAATTGAACGCCTTTGATAATGCTCTGGCTTCTGCATTGCTGTATATTATTGGAGGTGCACGGAAACGAAGGCTCCCAGAACTTGTTGAACTAATATGTGGATTTGCAAGTAGTCGATTTTTCGTTGGTGAAGAGATTGAATTTCAGACTGCAGATTCGAAGTAAGTTTTATGGTGTCTCTGGATACTTCGTAATATGTCCAATATTTTTCTTAGGATTTTTGGATGTATCAGAAATGATTCGTAAACTTTAAAGGTAGACCACATGCCCAATATAACATACATCAAAATGTTCCTTAGATGCTAGAGATTCGTAATTCAAGAAAACGACTTCAATAGTGTTTCATTTTCTCATATACATACTATAAATATTGAAATAAGTAGACCATCCGTTGCAGATCCAACAGCAAAAGGACTGGATCCTTATTCGTGTTCTATTGACAAGTTTTCTCAATTAATACATTAGAATTTTGTGGTTCATGTCATAATTCCACTCAGGTTTTACTGCAGATAGATTAAACTTGTAAAAAGCTAAATACATGGCCTACAATAACATGACACCGATATTAACCATTTTTCGGTTTTAGAGGCCTAGGCTCCTCGTTCATTAACCTTCACTTGATGTGTTACGTTAATTAATTCAGCCCAAGATTAGTTATTATACAAGATTTTGTCATATATTATGCCATTTTGCGTTCGGAATCCTTTCGATTTTCAATTCATTTGTCCGCCAGGTTCATGAAGTATAGTATTATATACATGAATGTTTATCTTCTGTACAAAATTAATCATATTTGAAGCTAGTAAATGTGATATTTTAATTTTTTTAGTGTTCGGTCTCTTGGTATTATTGATCGTGTGGTCGTGTCACAGAGAAAAAGCCAGTTTGAGCATGTAAGTAATCTTTTCAAAAGGGATAACTTTATGGTCTTTACGTATTCGATACTTTCATAGTGAAATGAAAGCTGACTATAATTGGTATTTAGTCTGCTTTGCAAACGTTTGCCCATATGTTTCATAGTTTCACATTCTTTCTGTGGGTTATTAAGTTGTACAGTTCTTAATATTTCCTTACTTTCTTAAAGCCCAATTTTTCACTTAAGACTGAAGAATGCTTAAATTCAAGATCGAAATATCGTGACTGAGTATCGTTTCCGATCCAGCTTAGAATTTTTATTGTCTATGTAAATGGTGAAGTTTTTTTGTAATATACGTGACAGCCGTTTAGATATTAAACTTTTGACTAATTAGTTGTGGCTCTAAATAATTCTCTTGCTGATGTTTAGACCATAAGGTAGATGTGGTCATCAGTTAAGTAAGTTCACATTTTGGTACTAAGTCAAACTGTTTTTTGAGTGTTAGAAAATACATTCATTGATATCGAAGTCAAGTAAAATTGGCAGTCAAAGGTCATTAGACTCAAATATACCAAATTAAGGTTGAATTTAACTATGACACATTTCAAATATAAATACAGTGCAATAGATATGAATATATTTAAGGTGATGAAAACATACCTTTAGTAGTGACTATTTCTTCGAAGAAATCCACGGAATATACAACATAGTTTCAGGTTGGTTAAAGTAAACTAAATAAGGTAAGTTGATGGCCCAACTAGAAGATTTCCTGCAAGTGAAATAATACCTTTAGAACAGGAATTCTACTTAGTTAGTCCTTCACAAATGGGTTTGTACTAAAATAATGATAACAGTTTATAAATACCTTAAAAATGACAAAACTTTAGAAGAATGTCAATGATCCGTTGAGATAAAGGGACATCATTTAACTGCTAATATGACGGAAAAGTACTATCATTTTATCAGGTCAGCTTATAAGTAAAAGATTGTTACACTAGATAAATCTACATGGTGGATGAATAGCATATAATCAACAGAAGTCCTGTGTCCTTTTATACCCCTTACTTTATTGATATCACTAATCTTATCTAATGACATTAATCCGTATGGAAAATATGATATTCTACTCTGATATTAATTCTTATATTTAAGAAAAACTCGTAATTCCTCAACCTTTGAATCTCAACTGAAAAGACTATATTTAGTAATAATTTTCATCATTTTGTCTCGCATTTTCTATGGTAATGCACGCTTAGTCATGAATAATTGTATTCATCTAGTTGTAATAAATATATATTTACTGCTTACATATCTGCTTTTTCTAACAGAGTGGATTATCGATGGATCCAAATGTTCAGAAGCCTGCCTTTCCTGATGCATTGAAACTTCATTACTGTGTAAGGGAGCATAAAAAGTCTGATAATGTAAACCGTATCGCCTCAAGTGTTTTGGTACCTGGATCTATTATTAATCGTCGCAGTCGTAACGTACTGGCTAGGGATCACATTAAGTTCTTCATTCGCCACACGTGCGAATTAAGAAACGGTGTTTTCACACCCAAAGTGAGTTTTTAAATCTCTGCTGATTTATTCTGTTGTAAGTTTCAGGTGCTGGTGGTTCCAATTATTTTTATAGATGCCGTGTTTCGTTTTTTATATAATCACTACTGTCGTTTGACTGTACCGGATCAATTCGTTACGATTAATAGATAGATTGCGATTCTACGAAAAAATTCTTACAAAATAAGAGGGGTGACTGGTGGGGCACCGATTGTGGTCATACAGAAGCTTCCTGTTCTTTCACCTAAAATCTTGGGGCAGTTAATTTACTTTATGTTAATACTTTGATTAGTATTTCACCAAATAAGAATGGCTGTTATAAAGATATTCACTGTTATCCTTTAAGTTTTCCATACTTTCATGTTTTACATTTTTATGCTTATGTCTTGCAATAAGGTTTACTATCTAACTGAGCGAGTCAGACTTTAAAAGCTCTGTTTTATTTACTGTTATTTTTGGTCTCTCTGGAAGCGTTTTAGGGATTTTTTTATCTTTATTACTGTTTATTCAATAATTGTCACTATTCTACCTTGATATTTTGGATATCACCGAAACCATATACCATCCTATTTATTTGTTTGCAGAACTGTAATTTATGGACGAATCAACCACACTTAACAAAGCGGCCGTTAAATTTTCGCGCGAAATTCATGTACCGATATAGTTTAATAGCATTCTGACACTAGGTGATATCAGTTCTTGATGAAAACTTACTCCGATTCCCAACCCTTACTTCTAACTTTAGCCCTAAATCTTGATTCGTACTAATTCATAGCCCTAGCTGTCGGAATTCTTCAAACCACTTTAGTGTCCTGTGAAGGTCGTTCATAGGTTACAGTCACGGCCATTTATTCCGTTTCGTGTTTTACAAGACAAGTTTTCACACCTTTAAACGTGTTTGGAACTGTTATATAATGGGTGGAATATGGTAAATTCAGTGTTTATAAGTTCACAATTGAGTTAAAGTTTCAGTTTGTTAATGAGCGGTAGTATCACATTTAATCATGTATTAATCTTGTGATGTACAAAAAATATAATCCATGTTTGTGAGCCTTATATAGTCTTGAGTACTACTGTTACGGTTCTTGGTAGCTGACATGAATTTACCATTTTCATTTTAACATTTCCAATTTATATGATACACACTTATGATAGCAAATTCTTTATGCTAGGAGAAATATCTACATTCACGAGATCTAATAAAGGAAATTACTAAAAGTTTGTTGAAATCGTCAGTTGCATTTCGAGACTTAACTGGTCAGTCACTTCCACCTTGTACAAACTAGGAACTGACCGTATAGGGCTGCTCACTTTCTAGTGCTTTGTAAAACTCATTGTGAGCCTCTATCAAGCTAATCCTGTTACTTATTTTTTTTCAAAAAAAACGTGAGTCTAGTACTTCATTTAATTATCACGATGGCAATACAACTGATTGTTTCATGTGATATAAAATTACTTATAACCTAATAATCAATGTTAGTTATTAGGCCTCTAGATGTACTGGCACGAAGGATCGGGAGAGTCAGGTTTCTTTCTCGAAATCTTTCCATACAACCATTCGTTTTTAGCATCTGACAGGGGAAGTCTTACTCCCTTCATACAGTAAGGTCTGTAAGAAACTATAACTTATGGAATGCCACTAGTTACTAGGTGCAAATGACATACTCCCAGATCTTTTTAGAGATGGTAGTGAGCTTATGGTTAGGGTGCCCCCAAATGCCCCGGTACGGCCGAGAGTGAGGAGAGTCCACTCCCTCTCGAAATGCTCTCACATGGCCACGCGTATATAGCCTCTGCCAGGGAAGTCCTACCCACTGCCTTCCCGTGGCGGGGGTGTTGTTTACGGAATTGAGAGGACGAAAAGCGAATATCCGGCGCTTTAACCGGATTAGTTGACACGGAGAGTCCACCTAGGGGAGTTGTAAAACCCTGATTCCAAACCAATGGTGCACACAGGCTTCAGAATCCTGAGGAAACAAATGTCGTATGAACCAATCGTTGGTCACCGGCTACTATGGGACTGCATCTCCTTATATTGTCCCAGTGCCTTGTGGATCAGACCTTTAGGTTTTGTCACTTGGGCAGTATCCCAGCCCTTACACAAATCAAATGAGATTTGTGTGGCGCATATGTTTCTGGTGCCCCCTTGTACCAGTATTTATGTTCAAATAATAATAATAATAATAATAATAATAATAATAATAATAATAATAATAATAATGGTTAGGGAACTGAATGAGCTGTTTGGAAGTGTTTAGGATAGACAAAGTCCACTTTAGAATAGACAAGAATACTTCTCTTGATGCACCATCAATAAGCATATACAAGCCTATTTTCAAATATTTTTATTGTCCTATAATAGTGGTGCGAGCAGTATTATTCGTTTACTTTAAAACTTCGAATCATGTAGTTCTAGTAGTTCCTTAGTTCTCAGTTTCAAATGGTATGACTATATCGCTTTTATCGAAACAGATTAACTGGTGATTATGTGATTACACTTGTTTCACAATACTACTTTTGAATACTTAGGTTTCGATTTTGCAACGTTATAAGTTACATCCGTATGGACCTGTGACATGGGCTAAACTATTTCTGCCACCAGAACCTTGTTGGTCTGAACTGACGCCTGCTCCTCCATGTGAGTTTTAAGGTAGTTTTTTTATGTACTGTGTTAATAGTATATAGTTGGTTTACCGATTACTTTTCATGATGATGCTATTTGGCCGATTAGCCGAAAGAGTATCTTAAAGAATATTTTTCAAACCAGCTTTTGTTATCGCAATAATTACAAATCAACTTATTCACTCAATATTTAGGATACCGATGAATTAATTTTAGAAGGTTAATTAACATTCAGGGTTGTTTGTGATCCAGTTTTGTATCTGTAATATGGTTTTTCAGAAAAGAGATTATAATCCTTTAGTCATTTTTGCGTTTACTTTTCTCAAATCATTGGTACTATTAAGTTCCGGGCTTACAAATATTTATATTACTTTTCATTTAATTTTTGGTCAGCAGAGAGTTTAAGGTTCATGTAAACATAATGACCATCAGATACTTCGATGTCTAATTTTTCATACAGTTTAGAGTATCTTTGGCGATATAACTGTTAGAGGACAGATAAATAGCTTTAAGTAGATCCTTTTTTGTACTGAATTCCGTCTGTTATCAGACGTGCTCAAATGTTATTGTTCTAGATATTTCCTTGAATCTTCTAGGATTTCATTAAGTGTATATTTGGACTATTGGACTTTCCACAGCAATTTCATAAAACATACTTTAGTTATTCGTTGTTTAAATAATCTTTTTTTCTGTTCCGCACTACTCATATTTTTTTAATCTTGTAGTACAGGTGATTTAAATTCGTTAGCTGCAAAATGTTTCTATTGAATTTGTCATATTACATGCTTTGTGATAGACAAATCATCTCTGATTTTTGTGGGAAACTGCTTAATAACTCACTATTATTTCTAAGCCAGTTAAATGTGTAAAGTCTAACGAAAAGAACCAAATAGTTGATTATGTTGAGGATATTATTGAATAGTTACAATGTTTTAATCATACTATATGAATTCTAAAAAGATACGCGACTTATTAAAAGGAGACAAATATTCTGAGTATTTTTGTTGTAAGTTATGGGTTCCGTTTATCTATGATCTTATACAATCCAAAGGTAATGGAATATTTAAATATGAATGCATCTTCAGAACTCAAGACATGAATTATGTGTTGCTCCACAATATGAATCGCAATGTATTTCTAGTTTTAAAATCTGTGTCAGTGAATTGTTTATTGGTGATTTTTCTTTTTACTTTTGTCACTATCAGTTGAAGCAGATACCCTTTTGTTTTGTAAAATCTATGATTTTTGTGCATCATAGCTAAAGTGTGATACAACAGTAAAAGCGAATATCTTATTTTGTTAACGAATGTACGAAGTCAAATGTTTCTATTATGACATTTTTCTATCCACTCTTTTTCGTTGAGATTTTAAATAATTCAAATGATGCTTTCTTATCACATGAAATTTAAACTGTGTTCTCAACTATCAATACACTTTTCTTATTAGCTCTCGAAGCATTGATATGGTATTTGTCTTTTCTTGTAGCCTCAATGATTCGGACTGTGAGCAATCTAACGAAGGAATCCAGTCGCCCTATATGCCAAGGTTTTAAAGTTATCGATACTTATACGGATGAATGGACCAGTCGAGGTCAAACGAAACCTTCTCCAAACGTTCCATGTTCCATTGCCATTAATCATAACATGGCTTCATCAGGAGGAACAACCCGTGTACAGTATTTTGAACCCCTCGGTTTTCAGTCGCAAAAAGTTCTTTATCAACAGACACATACACTAATGGGTGGTACACATGCAATGAATGGTCCCTATAGTGAGTGTTTTACTTAAAGCATTTAGTGATGTTTACCAATACTAATCCATATCCAAATATATAATATATGTCTCATTCTCAAGCTTTCAGTCGATGAACAGTTTTATATTAACTTTTTAAACTTTTTGTTCCTTGCATTCAATAAAGTTTGTTTTCATTTCATTCTAGTATTTCCACAAAATGGAAAGGATAATCAGTGCTATTAGTTATTTTCCAGTAGTTACTAGTTGTGTAACTAAGCATATTGCCATTATTGTGGTGATACCTTAAACAACATCTTATCTTCATTCATTGGTTTCATGAGATATTTTGTATTTAAGTTCGGCTGTGAAGCTTGTGTTGTTATGTCGTTCTGAGTTAGCTACAAAGAATTATTGGTTTCGTTAGTTAGATTAGATAACATTGAGTAGCGTGTCCAAAATCACTACAAGTAATTGCTCTTTTGTCATCACACTAACATATCTTTACATAATTTTTGTGAGTTTCTTAGTTGGGTAGCCATTTTTCTGAAATAAGTATATTCACATTATTAATTAGTATTTTAATAATGCAACTCATTCGCCAACTACATATTCATGTATTGGCGTTTAAGCTACACTTTGTATGAGGGCGAATAGTACTGCTGTGGTGTATGCTACTTATGTCGATAGACGTCAGTAGTATGTAACATCAGTCAGAAGTGGAATGCTTGGCAACCGAGGGCTAAGAATATCGAGTTATCGTGAACAAAAAGGGAAATAGAAAGGAACTGTGAAGTGCAAGAACCATACAAAATGTGAAGGGCAGTTGATGGATAATTCGCAAATGAAGTATTTAGTGTTTGGTTCTCGTATTTTATGAAGATGATCTGTGATTTTGTATTAGAAAGTAAATCGGTTGTTTCCATCTGAGTTATTGTTCTTTACACTACTACCGCCTGGCTGCCCAAATCGAGTTAAAAGGGGATTGTAATTGAAAATCGATTACGTTAACCATTAAGCCACTGACTTAATAGCAGTCAACATATCCGCTTTTCGATAAGGAAAGTGATAAGATTATATGCATATATTTACTAATATGTTCATATTTATATTACATTTCTCTTAGATCAGTCATTACCGCAACCAGTTTTTGATATTTCACGTTCTTTAAAAGTTGAAAAAACTGAATTAGAAAAGGAGTGGAGTATGGTGCGTCGTCGTGATGATTTGGAATTATCGGATTTAGTGCCATTACCAGAATTCGCTAAGGTAAACTATTCGTACTTTTTGTAAGTATTATACTTATTTCAATCAGGTGGAATTGATATTTACCTATTTCACTCATATTATTTCGCATTTTGTTTGTAAACAGAACTTGCTTCTCTTGCCACTGTTTTCATATATTCTTATCGCACTGTTATCATTTTAGTTTCCTTCTTCACTTCCTCCGGATGATATTGGCTCAGCTCTACAGTTACTAGAGTTTCTTCATGTATTTGGTCCACACATTGGACTTGTTATCCCACAAATAGGTAAATGTACAGAAGTGATCGGTACGAATTTATCCCGTTCTACTCCTTCACTTACATTATCTACTTTGGAAAGTAGCCTTTTGGAATCGGATCCTTGTGGTCCTTTAGCCGATTTCTTTATAAGTATGCTGTCTACTATACGTAGGTTGGAAGTAAGTTTTTTCACTCTTAATCCATATTACTAACGCTTGTTTATTTCCTATTACTTATAACTTTACAAAGTAATATGACTTAATAAAATAAAATAACGTTATACTATTTATTATTTCAAGAATTTATTATTCTTCAACATACTGTTTATCGAGAAATGGAGTAAGGTTACAATACTATTCTTATGAGTTTCGTTTCTGAATCATATTTGGCTGTAAGTCATCTTCAATTCACATAATTTCGAGTGCTTTTAAGCTAGGATGGTAACTTAGAACAAAGATTTATTGTTTTACGGTATCAAGTTTTCTGATGGTTTCCTCATCTACATTTCAAGAATTAGGAAACGTGTATTGATGTAGGCATGTACGTCACTGAGTTATACTCAAAATGTGTCCGAGTAACTAAAGCTACTGTACATTTGCTGATAGTTTGATAAACCAAACTCCAATTATTCTTGTTTGCATTTAATAAAGGGTAGTACCTTGATCTCAATGTCTCGTACCAACCAGGAGATTGACAAATTTAGCCTGGAAATAATCTGCGTTTCTTGATTTGTAGTGGAATAACTTTATATTCGTCTCTGTTTAATTCTTAAATATTTCATTCACTGGTCAGTTTGTAAACATGCACACTAGTTTATAGTTACTTGTAACCTTAAAAATGCTATAGTAGCTAAATAAAAAGCGAATGGATATTGATCATGGAAAGATTATAGAGTGTAATAGTTTTTGATGGATTTTAAACCTTTAAAGTTTGCATTTAGATGACTAATCTCACGCAAATGAGATTTTAACTGCTTTTATTATCCAGCTGGACGCCAATTCTCGTCAACCAACTCCAAATGCTTCGGCCGCAACAATTGCTGCAGCGTCGGCTGTTGCTGCCGCTGAAGCTGGTTTTTCTGTGAATACACAAGTCTCCCATGTTTCTGGAATTGGAATTGATAATAATTCACTTTATGATGAGGATGCAGTCGGTCCTGAAGACAGTGCTGTCTTCCGTGTGCTACGGGATGCTGGAGCTTCAACTCGTTTATGTGAACTTATTGGTATACCAACCCAAGCAGCCACCATTGCTGCCGGTAAAGCTGCTGTGGCCGCTTCTGTTGCGTTGAACACAACAAGTGGAACTGTTGTAAAAGAGGATTCATCAGGGATTTCATCTTCAGTATTTCCAAATGCAATTAACCGAAGTTCTGTTACACGTGCTGCAACAACGGCAGTCATTGCTGGGGCTACATCTTTACCACCATTGGATCGTGCTGGTCTTTCTGAAGCACTTTGGTTACACATAACTAGTGCAGCTGCAAAAGGTGGGGGCTGGCGTGGTCAGATTTGGGGAGGTACTCGACTTCTGGATGACCCTTCCGTTATGCTGGCCAGAAACAATTCAGCTTTAGTTGAAAAGCTTAAAAAAGGTGGATAACGTTTGTTTCCATGATTATTGTCTCTAGTTTAATAATACTAAATTATATATACTCATAACTTTTAGTTGTACCATTCTTGGAAACGTTTGCGTAACGTTTCTTCTACAGTCAATTTTCATAAGTTGATTTTTTGTAAATGATTATAGTATAGATTTGTGCAGCCCCTGGAAAGTAATATGGAAGTGGATATTCTCTCGGCTAATATAATTATATTACAGTTCTTAAGTTTAATGTTCCATTAAGTGCAAAAGGAACAGTTTAACTCATGCCATCGGTAGCTGACTATCGAAATAACGATTTGGGTATAAAATTTATGCTACGAGTTTAAATAAATCTGACCGGGTCTGCTTTACTTTAAGTAGACTAGTTCATTGTCACATAATGTAGATAGTTTGCAACGCGGAATAGGAGGTAATACGTCGCATCATTTCGCATCTCTTTTAATTGGTCTCACTTGGATTTACTGTGCAATGTGGTTTTCTGTATCGTATGTCGGTCTTTTTATTTGGTGCTAAATAGCTTCAAGTTCTCACTTAATTAGTATCCGAGTAAATTAAGTTTATTCTCGCAAGTGTCTCATTAGATACTTCGCTTATACGGTCCAAATAGTCAAGGTTCTAACTAGGATTCTCAGGGATTCACAGCATTTCTTTGATTACTTTCCCCTGATTTATCGTAAAATCTGTTCTGAATGTGTGTATGTGTGTATGAAGATCACCGACGAACAGTTGATACAATTAGTTGTTTGAAATAATCATTTAATCAATCCACATGTTATTAATTGCTTTTAAGCGTAAATTCAAATATTTGAAAATGTTTACTTAAACAGATAGACTTTATAATAAATTAACGAAGTGCTCAATAAACCTCATATTAATCATATTGGCTTAATATAATGTCGACTCACCTATTTGTAAATTTGTTATTATGTTCTACAAGAGTTACGTCATTTCAAATAGTCTAAAAATAACACTTTTGGAAGAGCGATATAAAATATTTTTAGTTTACTTTTGTGAATTCATATTTGGACACATTTGTCTTTCTAACTAATTAAAAAAATTCCTAGTTATTGTTTTTCTTTGTTGTGATTAAACTAAAGGTGTAAAGTAAAACTCAAAGAATATTATTGTCAGATGAAGTTTACTACTTATCTGCATTCTTAGGTAATTATAGGGTACAACTTTAAGTCATTGTTGATAGTTTGCAGCAATTACTACTGTTTGTTTAATTTAGTATTCAGTATTAACCCAATATTTGTCTCTTTGATCATACATCTCTTGATCAGTATGATCTGTCAGCAGGTAGAATCTGTTCTACAACTTCATTTTTCATTGTCCATTAATTCTACTTCCATTCAAGCTTTATTCGCTGTTTTTTTAATTTCTTTGTTTCATATCTCTTACATAGATGTCTAAATTTTGATCTTAAACTATTTTTCATTCTAGTGTCGGTTTATGAACTAACTCCACATGAAAAGTTGATCTTGCTTACTACTTTGATGGATGAGCTCTTGCTTCAACCTCAGATTCGAGAACGTATGGAAGATAATTACGAACGTGTGCGTTTGTTACGCAATCAGTTGCGCACTATACAAGCTGATAGAACTGTATTGATTAACTGTGGTACTGGAATTGAGGAAGAACAAGATGTTTTGGCACATATGAAGAAAATGAACTCCACAAATGATGGCCGTGTTCATTTCGCTCCTGTTGGTCTTAAAGGACGCTTGGGCAGAGGAAGAGGTCGTCCAGTGGGTTCTAGTCGTACACTAAGCCGCAAAAATACGCAACTAGATTCGACAATCGCTCCGTTGGAGAAATTTTTGTCAGAGTAAATAATTTTCATGAGTCATTTAGTAACAAAATATCTCAATTCCTTGATTTTAAATACTTACTAGCTTTAATTAGTAATTCTTTTGATTTGAAGTTATACATAACTTACTATGATTGTATGTGTTCTATTCTGTGGATTATTACAACGAATTTCACACCATGTGTTTTTTATCTAACCTTAGTTAACTTCAAGTTATTTTTGTGCTTACTGTCAGCAGTTTTTACACGACATACAAGTGGGTTAGTGGATTGGTTATGAATAACCTAAGAAAATGCACACTCATAATCTTGAAGGACATGTCATTGAATTTATTGATTTGACGAATTTTTAAGTTTCACGTTTGATTTCTGTGAACAACACACTGAAGTATCTTTATATATTTTTGATAATTTTTCTGCAGTGAGGATTATACGTTAATCAATCGGAAGGAACATCGACCCAATTCAGATACTGGAACAACAACTTCTTGTATCTCTTCCTCATCTACAGCTAATATATATGAAAAATTGACAGATTCATTATTAGAGGAACAAAAGTTACTAGACTCTATTACTCAGGTTTCGCGTGGTTGCTCAATGATACCTCTTGGTCAAGACAGATTTTATCGGTAAGTTACTGATTTTGTCGTGTTTATCTATAAACTAGAAACGAACTCTAAGTGATTGACAATCTTCGAAATCGGATTCAGAGCTTTTAACAAAAAATAATCCGATTTTTCGAACAATCACTTTTTACTTCTATTTATAAGATTAAATTAGTTTTTTGTGTCTGTCAAATTATTGCAAGAATTTGTAGGTTATGAATCGCTCATGAAGTTAAATAAATATAAAGTGCAAGTTGGTATTCTCTGTTGATACACTTCGATAGACGGATACACATCAAGTCTTTACATGGTGTTGTATGAAGTTTTCTGTCTCGAAATTTAGGGATAATGCATAGTCAGCAAAACTACCTTTAGATTCATTTACTCGGTTGTTTGGATATATTACTCATTAAATGGGACATGACATTTTACCTGGAGATTATAATTTCGTATTCTACTTTGGTTAGTAAATTTTTTAGTCTCCAAACGATGCATGGTACATAGCCTAGTACACGATAATTATTGACTGTTGCCTTCGGTGTACGCGAGATTTAGGTGGCTTCTCCAGACTGACAGGCTCACAAAATTCAGTTACTACTTACTAACGAATACTAGATCATATAAAAACCAATAACTGGCTTTGTTGAACTTATCACTTCAGACTATATAGAAAACAGACAAAGTGCAAGATCCTGTACTCTGGAAGATGCAGATATAATCCAAAAGATATCTGTTTAAATATATCCTTTAAATGACCACGGACTGCGAGATGGGAAATCCAATCAAGTGTCAGTTTGATATTAGTTTTCGTAAGAGTTTAATATCAGCTGAAGTACTATTGAAAATTAGGAGGCATTTATATCAATATGTAAAAAAACCCATCTTCGAATATAACTGTTCTCCTCAAACCATTTAACCAAACACCAGTTATCAATTATTGGTGCCTACATTTATATAGCTATACCAATCGATCAACTGTTATTTTTTTCCTTTGTACTAGTTAAGTTATAATACTTGACTATTAAATTGTCACATACCATTGCCACTCACACTTAAATAAAACAGTTACTAAAGTTAAATTCAATAAAGTGACCTTAATAGTGAAACCTATTTCTAAATCAATACTTTACTGATTGAAACCAATGAGTTGTTATAGGAGTATTTGAGTAGTAGTAATTATACATATCTTTATTTATGTTTTCCTAAAAAAATTTTCATTACATTCTAACCATTGTGAATCGGTGAAATGATCTTCGTTTTTCATAATTATTTCATTCTAAAAAATTAGCAAATTTCTAAATTTTATATGCTTACTTTATTGTACATATTTGTGCTTATATTCAATGAATTTATTTTACATTACAGACAATATTGGCTAGTAATGTCTGTACCATGCATACTGATTGAGGATTGCCCATGTGTTGATAAAAATCCTTATTATACTCATGTTACAATTCGAAATCGTCAAGTTGTATATACGTATCCTGAACTTGCTAAACAAATGGGTCTTAGTAGCTCTGAGGAGGCTGGTAGACATTTACGGGAAATAATCAATTCTATTAAGGATAATGAATTATTAGATAGAGAAGAAATAACATTTCGTGTTGCCGCTTATCTACCGCATCAGTCTTTATCATCATCATCATCATCATCGTCATCATCATCATTATCAGGAGGTTTATCAGTCGAACAACTGCGAACTCTTGTTAAACCGGTAAGTTTAACTAAATGCTCTCATTTATCATACTTTAAACATGCCTATGTAATTAACTCATGCTAGCCATAGATAATGATCAGGCCATAAGATCCTTCTAGAACTGAAAAGATTCAAATTGAACTTCTAAATAAGAAAGTTTTATTCTAAGTATTTCTAAATTTTTGTGTGCTTGTGTATAAAAAATTCAATTTAATTTTTTATCTCCATTTTTTACTGTAGGAACGTGTCAGTGTCCATGACTCGTCCTTACATAATGCCTGTCCTGCAGTTAAACAATTAGCTAAGCTACGATGTTATCCAGGGAAGTCATCTCTGTCCACAACTGTCTGGTCGATTCTCATACCCGATAAGTACAGGGAATTGTACCAAAAAAAGATGCTTGATTCAAATAATCATACTATCGTTTCTGATTCAAACACAGAAGTTGTTACATCTTCTTCCATACGTGATTGTTCTGATACCCCTGTAAAATTTGAAGAGTGTTATAATAACGTCAATAACAATTCTAGTGATGATAATGAATCGAAATATAAGACAGATGTTTCTGACGATAACAAAAATTGGTCTTTGACAAATGATGAACTTGATTTAATGATTGAACAAGCCAAATGGACTATTGATTGTCTGGAAGCTTCATTAAACCCTCGCGGTATCCGTGAGTCTCGTCTTCGTAAAACGATTGGTCAGTTGCGGCCTTTACTTATTAAAGTACTTACCATGTGTCCACCGGAAATAATTTGTGCAACGAACGATAACTGTTCAACAGTAGTTGACAAGGTCAGTTTTGTATTTATAAATTGTTCTATTATGTACCCTTTGTCGTCTTTAACCAACCAGTCGATGAACTAGTTTAACAATGTCTGCATTGAGGAATTCACTCTAAGACTAAAGATTTTTTTGGACTCTTTGTGGTTACTAACTTCGTTTATAAATATTTTCCACATTTTTCAAAATTTAACGTGATCACATTGTTCGAAGAAGTTTATGTATGAAAGTTCTTTGTTAAAAATCCAGGTACCACCATGCTGCTTACAGTAACAATAAGATTCTTTTCATCCCGAATGCTTTTTCACTGACAGATTATAATCTCATTATTTAGTTGGAATTTTATAACAATTTTTAAGAGCATAACTCCTGTCAAAGTTATTGATATTCCAGGTAATAAACATATACCAGGGTTTCCTGCTCACTGCATTCATTCACAAAACGCGTAATTTGGTTTGAATCACGATGGCGCAGTTGTTCGCTGTTTTTTACTTCGATAGTTTCTAAAAATTACTGATAGATTTTGACTTACAGTTAACATATAGAGTCTGAATATATGAAAACCGTAATTGTTTTGTGTTCTGTGTTCGCCAACTCAGGCGTTCACTTTGTACGTTATCTACTACTTAGGCTATAAATAGCTAAAGTAACTCTTATTGAAGCATAGATTATTGATCATTTTAATAAAAGAAATTTCTATCAATGAGTTTGAAGACCATATTAGGAAACACTAGGAAGAAATAACCTGATGCATTTATTTGTCATTCATCTAATTAACGTTTTCCTTAATTAAATTAAGAAATTATACACCAGCTTGACACAGTTTCTTAACCCCTAGACAGCAATTAGTACTCAAATTGCATCTGGATCACTCGAACATGTTGCTACCACTCCGGGGAAATATAATTATTCAGGTGGTAAATCAACTCATGCAGTCATGTGTTCGTGGTTGGAAATCGCTCTTGTTGGTATAGGATATCGTCTTGGTCGTTTGGATTTGATTAGGCGTCTTTTGTTCAATAAAAGCGGTAGTCTCACGGAAAATTCATCAAACACTGAAACCGAACTATGTAAACAAGATCTTAAAGAATCTCTTCAAAACAAGTAAGTTTACCTCAATTGCTTTTTCAAATTGTCGAGATTCATAGCACTTGATTTTTGGTGATATTTTGGATATTAGTATACGTACTACTCATATATGTGTAAGTAGTTTTAATCTTAGCGGTAAAGTTTCACTTCTATGTTTGTCCATTTTTTCCCCACCTAGTAGTTCATTATGTTTCATCCTGAAAAATATGTCGCTAGTTAGTCTGAGAAGGTAAGCGATATGTCGTGAAATAATTGATGGGATCAATAAAGAAGTAATTTAGAATTTAGTGGAAATGCGAGATATCCGTCTATCAATAAAAGGACGAGTATACTGAGCGGCAGTCCGTTCTGTTTTAATTTACGGCAGCGAAACATGGCCATTAAGAGTAGAAGACACTCGTAAGCTATTAGTATTTGACCACAGATGCCTTAGAAATATTGCTGGCGTCTGCTGGGATCACCGGGTAAGTAATAGTGAGGTTAGACGCAGGGTATTAGGGAATGATGGTAAATCAGTTGATGAGGTTATGAATCTTCATCGACTGAGATGGTTGGGCCACGTGTTACGTATGCCTGAACACCGATTACCACGACGTGCAATGCTATCCGGTATTGGAAATGGTTGGAAGAAAGTTAGGGGCGGCCAAACCAAAACGTGGCATCAGTGCTTGAAGTCACTAACTTCTAGTCTGAGCCATGTTGGTAGATGCAGACTACTTGGTTGGGGTCCGCGTGACTATCGTAACCAATGGTTGGAGACTCTTGGTGACATGGCTCAGAATCGATCACAATGGCGTCGGTGTATACACTCCCTGTCTTCTCTTAAACTAAGAGATTAAAATCGCTTCATATCTTTCTTTCTACGAACCAATTCTTTCTTCTTGTACTATATCTCTATATGCAATCTTTCTCTTACATATTACTACCTTTGACCTAACCACTGCTATGAATCCGGTGTTCATCTTGTTGTGCTGATGCGGTATGGCAACCTGGACCGATGCACATATGTGCCTAGTCCTACGTTGTAGCTGACTGACTGACTTTTTTGAAAGAAATTCATATGATGGCTTTTTAGTTGTTTGTTGGAAGCTTATCGAAATTGTTCTTAATGCAACTCACTTGCCGAATACCTGTCTAATTGATTGAATTCGAACAACTTATTTTGTTAAAGACCTAATAATTATATTTAGATAGACGAACCAAGGGTGACAGCGAAATGTCCCTCAAACTCACGTAGTATTCATCAAATGTATCTTTGGAAACTACAGGTGTTTTAATTACTCAGTTATAGGACCGTATTTAGAATACCAATGTTTTCCTAGTGTGATATCCATATTTCAGTATACTCCTAATCATCATATTCTTGAAGCGAATTCTTAGAGAAATTCATTATTGTATTTTATACCGTCTGTTTCCTTCCGTGTATCAAACCTGTCCGCCAGTAATCTGCGCCTAGAATTTATTCATTCATTTGTTTGACGCCGCTTTTAAAAACTTTGTATTTTCAACATTATAGGGGTTCCAGTGAAGTGGAAAATGATGAGACTGTCTCTGTGTCAGTTGAAAATTGTACTGACAGTTCTATGAAACTTTCTGAGGCTCTAAAAACTCCACTAAATTGTAGTCCTGTTAATCCGGATGTAAAGCGTCTTTCACAAATAATTTTATCACTGGGCCATGATGTTAGTCCAAAAGGAGTTGCTGGACCACTGGGTGAGCTATTTTGTGCACTGAAATACATATTTATCCTTAAAATGTTTTATTTATGGCGTAGATATATTTTTCTTAGACAGTATATTGATAGTTTGTTTTAGCATTTATTACTTGGTCAATAAATTTCTTGTGGTTTTATCGCCGTATAACGTTATACAATACACGCATTTAATGTGTTTTTACATTCCTTTCTGAAAAGTTTTTCAATTCTCTACTATTTCCGTACTGAACAGGATAAATTGAAACTTTTTTCCAGGCTATGTCATAGTTTCTTTTTAGCCTATTAGGATACAAATACATAGTAAAATTTTATTAACGTCTAAGCTTTTCAAGTCGGGCTTTTGTTTGAACAATTGTTTGCTGGTATTTACGGTACTATTTAAACTTAAATACAAGTTTAAATATACAAAATACCCTGATCACTTCCAATTCTATGCTATACAACCATTAATTTGTATAGAAGTTGTAAAATTTAATCTGTAATTCATCAAATGAATAAATTTTTAAAGAACACAATTAATTGTTTATCAAAGAGAAGAATTTCTGACATATAGAGATTGTGATTCTGTTCACAAATGATCTAGCAAATTAATCAACTCAAACATAGACATCCAAACACGGGAAATAAATATAAAAAATTGCCAAGATACCATTTTAATTGAAAAAAGACTAGTTAGTTAGTGAAACATGTGATAACTGAAATACGGTTGAAAAATCAAAATTATAGGCAAAAACGAGTAACACTAATCTCATTTGAAGCTTAAATGTGATACACATGAGTGAAAGGATTGGAACAAGTAATATCACATGTAGGATAGAACAAAGAATTATTGTCACATGAATTACGTACGTTAGGGATTTCCGTACACATATAAACGAAGGACATTACATTATTCTTTCCTCACTGAACGTTATGAGCTACTCAACAGTTTTAATTTTATATCTGATTCATTGTCTAACATGTATCTGTTCATCCGAGTAAAATAGAATTTTGCAAATCATCGTGATTTCCTATGTTATATAGGATAATGTATTCTAAAAATAAATATATATCGTACGGTATTTGAAGATCACCAAGTTTCTACTTATTGTGAATTACGTTTTTTGATTCTATTCACCGTTTGCGTGCAACTCTCACATCCGTCAAACAGTTGTCAATAAAGTCGTTAACTATATAAGACCATTTCTTGTTTTTTCTCTGCAACTTTTCCAGCGAACGATGAAAGGACTTTGCGTAGTGAACCTATTAATATGTCAATCAACAAACAATCAACTGATTTAGAAAATATATTTTCAGAAAATACTGTACCATCTGAAGTACATGATTCAAATATAACAGCTAATTCTAATATGACCCAATCATTTAGAACTACTGGTTGGCAAAGATGGTGTGTTAATGTTGAACAGGCTAGTTCTACAGCACAGTTACATTTATTAGCACGTGCTCTTGAACGTGGAGCTCATCGTGCTACCTTAGGTGGTAGAGGTGTGTCGTCTGCAATTGCTAATTATGTCTCGCAACATCCTTTACCCGCTCTAAAATGTACTTCATGTCGGTATGTGTTATTATTATTACTATTACTAAATTTAATTCGTTTTGTTACATTATTCTGGTTTTATTTTAGGGACTTGAACTACCTACTTATGTCTGTTACTCCTCGTAGTGGAGCGTAAGCCACCTACCATGATTCCCCATCGAACTCTGTCCTGGGCAATCCTTTCCAGTCTTTTCCAGCTGCTATTTATTCTTTTCATGTCTGCTTCCAATTCCTGGCTCAGTGTGTTCCTTGGTTTTCTTATTCCCTTGGGGACTGTAAGTTAGGGCTTGGTTTGTGATGCAGTCTGATGCTTTCAGCAATGTATGTCCTATCCACCTCCAACGTCTTTTCCTAATTTTGAGTTCAAATGGAAGCTGGTTTGTTTCCTGCTATAGTAGGTTGCTGCCAATGGTATCTAACTAATGGATATGGAGTACCTGGCCTAAATAACCGTTTATAAATACTTATGTCTTTATGATGGTGTTATAATTCTCACTTATTACATCCACCTATTCCTGTTGCTTAGTATTCTCGGACAACAATTCACTCGACAAGTCCCCAAATCAGAACACGGTTGAACAGGGAAAAGATTATATTCCAAATAACAAGATTAGATAGAAGTAAGAAGCACAATAAGAAATACGTTAGTATATTTATAGTTTTTACATGAGATTTCTAGAGTATTATCCGAGTATCGACTTGCGCGGATTGAATAAGAATCAGCCGATCAGCGTGCATTGAGCATGATTTAATCCAATCTATGTCTCGCTGACAGATGATTATGGTAGTTCTCCGCGTTTTAGCTCCGTAGAATACATCTGTCTGGACGTTTGTATTGAAGATTCTGACTTTGATATTGACTGACAGTTGTTTTGAGTTCTATATGTTCGTTAAATGTAGGGATTCTGCCCTTGCTTTGCCAATATAGACCTGTACATTTGTATCAGATCCTTCTTGTTCATCGATGATAGACAACTTAACTACTCTAATGAAAAAAAGTCCTGCTTAAGCTACACTGACTTTATTTGTAGAATTTTTCGAATACGGTCATAGTATTGTTGTTATCACTATTAGTAGAAATTTAAAGTAAATGTGTATGGGAAGATAGTTATAGCGGAATGTTTCACAACTATATTATGTTCTATACATGACAAATGACCGGAAATCAAAAGTTTTATTCAATGTTTTTGTGTAGACTGAATTAAATTCACTATGTGAAGTGAATATAGAAAGCTATTTAATTTTTTGATTATTTATTTAAACATATAAATATTGATATAAGGAGGTATCATATATAAATGCGTCACAGTGCATCATTCGATTAGTATGAGGACTGTAATACTGCTCGGGTGCCCAAACCAAATCAGGTATTTGGACTTCTTGTCGTATAAAAATGAAAAATATCTACAAGATGTCTTATTGATTTGTCATTTAATTATTTACTAATTATGAGTTACTATTTCTTAAATACATATTTAACTGTTATATTAGTTGAATTTTACGAATTTTACATTCATTATTATGAGTTTGTTGATACTTCCTTATGTAATCGGTCCATCATGTTCCATTGTCTATTTATGATAATTAATCAGGATACCTAGAATTTATCCCAGAATAAAACGGTTGAAATTTTCTTCTGATAATAGTAATAATAATATTAGTAATGAAATTCATAAGTATGAAGTGACGTGTTTCTCTTTGAATTTGTGGTTTGTAAAGAAAGTCGGAATGCTTGTAACCAACTTTTTTTGAATATTCAACTTTGATAATATACTTTCTCGCTTTTATTTTCTTCTGGAATGTATGAAAGTTTCATTTTAGACGTAATAGGTTTTTTCGAACATCTTTTTAACTTTGAGATCTGGATCGGTGATACATGACACTTTTTGTCTAGTTGTTACTCCGTTTGCCGATACTTTTAAATCAGCTGTCAGTTACTGAATTCTAAGCTAGCTACCCTGATTTCTGTCTCTACCCTTTAATTTTTTTGTTGTTGTTGGCAAATTTGCCATTCTAATTGATTATTTTGTTCACTACCTAAAAACCTTATTTTCCACACTAATATATTTATAATTTCAAAAATATCTGAATACTTTTATTGTAGGGGTCCTCCAGATGTTTTGACTGTATCAACTGCATCCGGCAATCTGTCTGCATTTTCTGTTTGCTCTGGTTGTGCTTGCCCCTATCACCTGGATTGTCTTCTTTCTTCAAGCACCCGACGAACTAGTACCCGACGATCTCGAACTAAACAACTTGACATTTCAGATTCAAATAGTCCAAATAACATTGATTCACCGTTTACTGGGTTTCTGAGCAATTATTCCTCTTTATCCAGTGTTACATCTGCTCGTCTTGAAGTGTTAGGTGGTAGTCTTATATTGTGTGGATTTTGTCTTCGTTCAGCCGAGGCGTTATTGTCAGGAGCAGATAATCCTACAGGGCTTTTACAGTCGAACAATGAAGCATTTGAATTATCTACTACATTAGTATATACAAACGAAGATTATCTGGGTACTAATGAAAATACTTCACTCCAAAAGGTAATAACACTTATGATTACAGGTTTATTTAATCTTCGTATCTGAATAACCAAAATTCATTATTAGTATTAATATTTCACCGTTCATCTAGTGAAATCTTTTCTCTTATTAATCTTGGTCTGTTTGTGAAAGTTATTGGAGTTTTCTTTTTACTCGGTATATATTGGGTTAGGGAATGATTTGTTAATGATACGGGTTTGTTAATATCTGAAGAGTAACAGTTTGTGAAGTATATAGCCTGCAAGTGTTAATCTATTAAATTGGAAAATAAATTCTGGGAACTTTATAATCCAGTAAGAGTTTGTATTCTAGTTCCTTTTACGTTATACGTAATGGTATTTAAGTTGAATGTACCATAACATTTTCCTAATCCAAGTCTAGACTTGCAACTTTACTGTTAATATTTGACTGCTGTTATTGATGTACAGATTATGGTCTTATGGATGTGAAGCCTTTACTTAATCAAATAACAGGTTGTACTATCATATCAACTCAAGTGTAAATACTTTTTATTGATATCGTTCTCATTTACTGTGTGTTATAGTTTGTACTGACTTAGCACTTGAATGCTTTCAAGAAAATAACCTATCTTGTATCGTTATTAGATTACTTACTAGTATGTAAATAAAATTTCTTTGTGAAATTAATTTATGTAAGGCGATTTTTAACTCATACCCTTGGTAGGTACATTATTCTGATTAAAATGTTATGTACGGAGATAAATTATGAGTAAGGTATTCATGGAATATTTTACAAATTCAGTCAACAACTGTGCAGAAAACACAGTTCTTATACAATGAAATTGTGATTTTAAATGCATTAATTAACCAGTTGATCGTCTATTTTGATTCAATGTGTACTTTTTAATGTATATTTTTAAGTTGTTAACCCACTATAATTTATTTAGAATCATAAAAGATTTCGTGCAAATACTGTTCAAGTCAAATTGATTTTGATTGATAGTTTATTATTTGAATATTTGTTGATCATACTTCAAGTCATTGTAATTGGGGAGTGTGAAATAATAACATTAAGAACCACGTAAAAGCTTATGTTTTAGGCTACTAGCCACATCAATTGTTTAAGGAATACTTGACTTTCAAAGTCAAGTTAGTAGGTGAACGTTATTTGTCAAGACAGAAAAGCGACAACGAATATACAACAACTTCACAATGCCAAGCTAGGTATAAAACGTGTGAAGTTGATTGCCGGTTTTTCCTATCGGCCGTTTATGGATCGGAAAATCGCATATTTCGTAGACGGATGTGTTGTGTCAACAAGCAGCAAACCTCAACAGTCGAGCGCCGCCAGTTTTGTGGCCATTACTTGAAGATCCATGGTGCAGAGACAACAAACACTGAAGGAGCAACCAATTGGATCACATGTTTGCTTCTCGTTGATGCATCCTCAAATTGGCCTGAGAATCTTCCAATGGTTCCACTAATCACAATATAAACCATCCAGATTATAACAGACCCTCAAATGCCCTGGTACGGCCAAGTATGAAAAGAGTTAACTCTCCCTCTCGAAATGCTATCACATGGTCACGCGCATACAGCCTCTGACAGGGAAGTTCTAATCACTGCCTTCTCGCGGGATTACTGTTGTTTACGAAATTGAGAGGACGAAAAGTGAATGTCCGGCACTTTAACCGAGTTGGTAGACAAGGAGAGTCCACCTAGGGGCGTTAGAAAACCTTGATTCCAAACCAATAGTGCACATGGGCTCTAGAATCCTGAGGAAACAAATGTCGTATGAACCAGTCGTTGGTCACCGGCTACCATGGGACTGCGTCTCCTTATATTGTACCACTGCCTTGTGGATTAGACCTTTAGGTCGACGGCTCCGGGTGTGGCCCTCCAAGTAAAGCACCTGCTTTGGTTTGGGCATCCGGGCAGTATCCCAGCCCTCACATAAATCGAATAATTTATGTGGTGCATATGTATTTGGTACTTCTTTGTACCAATGTTTATACGTTTAAATAAAAATAAATAACTCATTGTATTGTAGTCGGCGTAGTGAAATTATTAGCGCACTTCACGAACGTATCAGAATCTAAATAGATTTTTACGCAGATCGTTAAGAAAACAACGAATTTCCTTATCACTAACACTTGAAATATTGATTGGGTTTAATTTATTAGATACTGTGTCTCTAGATCTCGAAAATTATGTAACTCAACACATAACAAATACTATTCTCATTGTTCTCTAACTAGAAGACAAATCGAGTTGGGAGAAAACGTCGTTCTGTTGTTTTTGACGAGTCTGATGATCCTACTTCATACGATGGGAATTCAGATGAGAAAACTGATCATCCTCTTGAGAATATGGAGGAGCTAGATCCTGATAAATCGACCGGAAATCAGCATACGGAAACAGGACACACAAATAATGTACATGTAACTAGACGTCGTGGAAGACCTGCTCGTCTTCATCGTGTATATAGTAGTCGTGGTCGTGGTCGTCGTTCAACGAAATTTCTGTCAGAGAAAGTTAGTCATTGTGATAAAACTGTTGAACCGAGCTTAGAAGTTACTTATGCATCACCCGCATCAGTAGATATGTCATCGATCAGTAAATTGTGTGTTACTGTGGATGTTCATTATGATGATGAAGTCGAACAGTTGCTTAGTCCTTTAGATCATCAAAGTAAAAAATTCAAAGGAGACTCCGGGTCTGTAAATTCAGCTTTAACAACAAACAAATCATGTCCAACTGTCGAACCTGAGGGAAATTGTCGCTGTAAGTTCTGTTTTCAGCTATTGTTTTGTTGATAATCTTTATTATTAGTACTAAAATAGTTAGTTGTTTTTAGTACTTATACTCATACTAAGTACTGATTGACTGTCACGATATAATTCTGGAAGCTTTCGATATACCTTATTTGTAATGGATGTAAGAATGAAATAACTAAAAACATTCACTCAATTCATTTCATATAACTTTTGTTATTATCTTTGTAGTAGTAACATTGTTCATTTCCATTTGATCTGTTTCTATGCACTGAATTTCCACTTATTTGTTTGTCCGGTGTTTAATAAGATTTAACTAGGGTAGGAAATTGAGTTTCGAAAAAGCCTTTGGGTTTCCAAACCAAGATACTACATTTGTTCATTCATTCATTCTGTAGCGAGGTTTGTAATTCGTTGTTATGCTTTACAATACAGCTAGAATCAACGTTTGTAGACGAGATGAGGAATAGCTCCAAGTTGGACGAATTCACATAACTGTATTCATTTTTTAATTTTTCCTACAAGTTGTTAACTACGTATCATGTTACATCGTTCTTCCGTTTCACTCGTTGGTATTGGAAGTACCTGAAAATCACACTTTACATTCTTATCACTCGTAACCATTCCGTATACGATAATTTCACTAAGTCATTTGGTTAATTTTTATTATTTTATTTATTAGAATTTATCTCGTAACTTGTAATCACAGAATTGCTTCTATTTTCCTTTTTGTTTAGTAAAACGTGCATCTATTATTTTAGATAATTGTGTTTCACAAATTACGAGTACCAATGATAGAGGACGTCGTTCTAGTCGTGGTCGTCCTCGAAAATCTGAAGTTACTCTACCCAACCCCTCACTCGAAAGTCCTGATTCAGTCAATCCTTTATCGTGTAGTCGAGAACAGTTTGATCAAGCTACTGCTGAATGCTTCCTATCAGAACTATGTACGATCAGTTCAGCACGTCCACTTCTCCGATGTGGTCTTGGTCGAACTGTAGCTTTGAATGAATTAAATCAAGCTAACGGTAATTCAGAAGATAGTTTCTTCGTTAATTCCCTATCTGAACGTTCTCGAGCAAGTCATCGAACACGCTCAACAACATCGGGTCATTCTTCTGAGGACCGTAGATTATATGCTCTAGATTTGGTCGGGTTACAAGAGATTTTGGCTCGTGGAGAATTACCTCAGGGACCAGGACAAGTAATCTCTCAGCTGCGGTTAGTTGCTTTACTGTATATAATTCCAATCTTGTTTCATATTTTTTTATACGGATAATCATATTTTCATCCGCCATATGAACCAGCTTTTATTCTTTGTATCCCATTTCCATTTTGCTGAATTACAGGTGTCATATAATTATTTTATCTTGAAAAAAGACCATTTGTTTTTGAATTAATCTTTTATGCGTTTGAGATATTAGCGAATGAAACATCATTCATCATGGCATTTTGGAAATATCGTCTATTTAGTTGCCGTTTAGATACACTCACCAGTGATTTGATGGTGGTCATACACTAACTCACTGTCTTCTCGCGGGATTACTGTTGTTTACGAAATTGAGAGGACGAAAAGTGAATGTCCGGCACTTTAACCGGGTTGGTAGACAAGGAGAGTCCACCTAGGGGCGTTAGAAAACCTTGATTCCAAACCAATAGTGCACATGGGCTCTAGAATCTCATCACATTATCTTAATGGTATAGCAATACCTTAAGGTTATGTAGTTTTTGGTAATGATTGGTAATTTATTTCCTGTAACAGTGACCTCTGAGACATCTTTTCCGGTCCATATTTCCTCAACAGTTTTTGTTTTCTGATTGATTGTGATCACATCTAGTTGGCTAATTTTCCTGTTCCCCAGGGTCATGTTTCTTGTTTGTTCGATTTCAAGTTTCTTTACACCTCTACCTTTTCTTTGTATTGCGTCGTTTGAGGATAATATTGAAGTGTTCAATGCCAGTTGCAATAGACCCCGTCCATAGTAGAATAGTCTTAGTCGTTTGTTATTAGGAATTACTGCAAACTAAATCAAGCTTAATAAGAGTTTTGCTCCTCTTGCGACATGGGCTACCAATCAGGGATCTTTAGCAAACTATTCTGGGCTATTCTTCCCACTTGTTGTCAAATGCTGTTTATGGTCTTGATGTCTGTGTCCATTACCCAATGGCATGTGTTATTTTGTCCGTCCCTTTCTTTCGCCTTTAGGATTGCAAGTTAGGGCTTGCCTTACGTAGTCAGGCTTGATGGTTTCCACACGTGTTCTGCTCAACTTCAGTGTCCTTAATTTCTTTCTCAATTGGCAACTGGTTTGTTTTCTGCTATAGTAGTTTATAGTTAATCTTCTTTGCACATTGTATCTGGAGTATCTTATATAAACAACTGTTTATAAATACATGTACCTTTTCGATGCTAATGGTTATATTCCTCCAAGTTTCAGCTCGGTATAATAGCACTAATTTAACGTTAATGTACAAAATCCTGACTTCAGTATCGCATGCCGGTTCTTCGGAGTTCCGGATATTCTTCACTTCTATGACACAACGGAATCCCAATTCATATTCATTTTCTACAAGATTTAATACCTGAACCTGTACTCAACTCTGTGTTCACTGTTATCTTTAAGGAATTCGTAATTGCTCTCTCTATAAGCAAAATAAATTTATGCTTTTTTTCTCTCATCTAAAATTTAATGTATACATATTTCTTTGTTTACTTTGGTTTTTCTAGACTACTCCTATCTCATTGGCTGCGTAGCAATCGTCCTGGTAGTCGTTTGCATCAATGTGCTTCAGATTTACTAGAACAGATGAATAAAAAGTTGAAAGCGTTACAACAATTGAATATCCCCTCTGTTAATGATAATATCATTAATAGTAACAATAGCAACAGTAGTAATACTGTTACTAATTCTTTAAATAACAGTAATAATATTGACAGTGAAAATCTAAGTCCTGTCAATCACCACCAATCACAACCATTATTCACTACTAGTCATTGTGGAAAACGCAAACGGTAATGATGATGATTTTATGTTGATTGAAATATGCGGTTTTACATTTATTGTGTATATTTATTATTGCCTTTTTTATTCTTTACTATTTATTTTTGTACAGTAAAATCACTCTATATACATAATGAATAGAAAATGAGTGTTTTCACTATCCCTTTCCGTCTTCGCTCTCTTTAATAAGTCCTGTTTTGATAAACGTAAGTATGTTGTTACTACTTTTCTTATTCTCCTCTCTGAACCACTTTTGAAAATAATGTCAATTGATGACCTCTTTCTTTTTGTTTCGATTTGTATATGTTGATCATTTGTTTTTTTGTGTATGTACGGTTTCGTTCTTTATTACTATATGCAGACTGTTATTGAAATTGTAATAAAATATAGAAATAAACCAATTATCAATACACGTAATTCCTTTCTTTACTTTTAATCTATCAGTTAAGTCATTTTTATGTGATATTCTCATAATGTTTCATAAAGGATAAAGAGATATGTGTTTTTGATTGTTTTGTAAGAGCTAATGTTTAATTTCACTTCTTGTTTTATAGCTTATTAAAGTGTTTATCCAGTAAATATTGGAAGATTTTTAAAAGCTTTTTCAAGTAGTTGGGTAAATTGTATTATTGTTTTCTATCCTTCAATAAACGTTACCTGTAAGTCTTTATTTAAGAATTCTTATTTACTCTTCAAGTTGGTGAATTTATTACTCAATGAGATAGTATAGTGAATAGTTTTCGTAACTATTTTCTTTTAGTACATTTTCTGTTAGTAAGTGTAGAACAAAAGTTCTAAATTGAATTAGTTTAAATTATTATCTTTAGATATAGTCTGAAACCAATTTCAAGAAGACTGGCAAAATATCTGAAAGAGAGCAAACAATAAGATGTGATATGATGTTTTTGTTTGTGGTGACCCTACTTACTTCTGACCGTATCTCATCCGATTTTGAATCTTTGGTTATAATCAAAAAGCAAACAAATTACTTTATAAGTACTACTTGCCACCTCTCATACTGATATTATTTTCATTGAAGCGATAATCTTATCCTCATTATTAACTGTTTAGGAAAATTGAGTTTTTCATTTGTTTGTGAATGGGATGTATTTTTATTCACTACTAAGAATGTGAATTCCATCCATACTGATTATATATTATCATTTTTCTTCATTGATTACCACCTAGATTTTGTAAGTATTCTATAGAAATCAATAATCTTTGGATTTTTATCGGGAACTTGAAAATACGAAATACGATCATCTGTTAATTATTTATAACTTAGTCTTATCGTTATACTCCATTTGTAAGAGTTTGGAATTAACCAATCCTAGTGTTAGATACTGCAGTTGTTCAGTCTATTGTTGGCACATCGGCCTCTTTATATTATCATCTAGTCACATGCATCTTCGTTTTTGCACATGTTCATCGTACTACCTAAAAATAGTAAGTAGTCTGAGTTGTGTCCAAATATTTTACATGAGTATCATGATGTGGCATCCCTTTGTCAAATCAGTTGATTTGTTCTATTCGTTTTATCCAACCTCAGATTTCATTGCATTGGTTCATCTTTATGATGTTAATCATGCTTCATTTTCCTTTAAATCTTCTAAACAACGATCTGTGTAGAGAGGTAATTGAAAATCTTCAGATATAATTTAGTAATTTATGGAATGTTATTCCGTTAGAGTTCGATGAATTTAAAACATGAGTATATTATTACACAAATTACACTGCACAAAAATAGTGTTTATATGCCATAATTGGCTTTCAGTAGTATCAATTTATCGATAGTTCATTGTCTTATTTGACCGATATTTGGAGAATCGGATTTCCAATGTTCTGTTAAATAATCTATGTAAATATATATGAGAAAGCTTTAGTTCTTTGTTGTATCTAAGGTTTTCACGTATTTGAATTCCAAGGCTTAACTCGACATCCTCAATAACTAAACTGTTGTTGATTCAATTAGAGGATAACATATTCATTCGGTAAAAGTAATATTAAGTGAGAGCTATTGATTATGCGGAGACTTTTCAGTTCTAGGGTTATTTCGTCTGGCCAAAACCAGATAATTTTCGAAAACCAAGGAACTACATATTGTAGATTTGTCCTAGTATGAGACTGGTTAGCCTATTAAATCAGTGTTCATAAATATGAATAACAACATAGATGTCTCAACTGAAATGAAGAAAGTTATGTAACCGATTGGAATAATTTCGAATTCAATCACTTGTATGTTTGCTTTGAATTTAGATTTCATTGTGGATAGCTTCCGTCAGTTATTGACATAAGCTTGTAAGCCTGTCAATAGGAAGAAAACACATGTTTACAATTTCACCGTAGAGTAAACCTAATATCTGAAATGAGGAAGCAGTTAGAAATGTCAGATTTCGTTATCTTTAAGCCATTATTTCGTAATCTTATGATACTAAACGAAAAAAGAACTTAGATAATTGACCGTAAACATGTACAACTCATGTGTGAATATTTAATTCTGGATGATTAATTCCGAATGATTCAATAATCTTTGTTGTTGTAAAAACTACAAAAACATTCACCTTCCTAATGATACGACAATTAAAAATAGTCATGGAAATATGTGTACTTTTATAAACATAATAATGACAATAATGACTGTTGTCATTCTTATGTTTACAGGTAATAACTATTTCCCAATAGGTGGTAAAATTAATTATATAATAGCAGTTTTTTCTCGGTAATGTCTACCTGTCATAAACCAAGAATACGATAAATTGTAATCGTTAATCATCTTTGTTGTTTAAATTAGTTTTTAAAACCTTTTAAGCTATAATGAGACAACTCAGTACAGTTATAGTTTACACTATTACATTTTTGTATAGAAGGAAACTGCTTAATTTTGGTTAACTCGGAACTATTGGTTAAAAATAAACTATCCAATGGAATTAAAATTGTAACTAGCAATCACATTGTAGTCGAAATGTGCAACTCAAGTCTTTAATAAACCAATGATGATGAAGAGTAAGTGTTAATGAAGTTAGCAAAACAGTATTGCAAAATCAATTAAATTCAAAGATGTATGATTACATTGGCACAAATTAAAATTTCGAAACTCACTGATGTTTTCATTTCTTTAAGTACATAAATGTATCATAGATACAAATTATTCAGTTTGAATAAAATTAGTCGCATCAATTTTTTTGACCAAATGTAAACCAAAAAACTGAACCATCGAACCTACATGTTCATGTAGTTAAATGTGAGTGCTGCCTATTGTTTTCTAACAACCAACTGAAAAATATTTCACATCTGGTCACTTTAAAGTGTAAGTTGGCTAGTTGACGCGTTCTTGTGACGTGGAAAAAATTCGAAAAAAAAGTCGATGTCTGATCTATAATGATTATTAAAATCTTATACCTTATCGACGACAAACGTTTCACTTTAACAAAGTTTTCATCCACAGTAAATCATATGGTAAATGAAAATACATTAACTACTATACGCTTATATTCTTTTCACAGCTAAATTGTTTGTTATCTTAAATTAGGATGAATATTTTTTTCATCATAATATAAATATTTTTGACTAAGTAAGTAGAAAGAAAGTAACGGTATAACATGAATTTATTTGTTTCGAGAGTTCACTACAGCTGCTTACAAACTAGAAATATTTAATTATTTGGAAAGTAATACAATATGAGAAAAACTAGATTAAAATTAGCTTTGCGATGTAAATGTTGATTAATAGAAGACAATAATTATGAAAAAAATTAAAAGGTTTGTAAAAACAATTGTCTGTTTCTAGGTTGAATACTTTCGCTACTGTTTAATAATATTAAATCTGTTAATAATAGACTGATATAATGGATAGTGTCTTAATTGATTAGAATCTAAGTGATCTATGGAATTGATTTGCTCTCATCAGTTATGACATGTACTTACATTTTAGGAAGTAGTAACTATGAGATGTATTCAATTAGTTATATTTTCTGTTTATAGCCGTTTCACTCTATGATGATGCTGCTGCTTCACGTTCATAAAGTGATTTTTTAATCAAATGATGTTAAGTCAGTTCACCTTTTGCCAATCTAACTGTTAGGTTGTGTAAATCTCTTGTAGTATGTACCAGTTTCTCTGATAGAGACCTTTCACGATTAAAGATCAATACCAAATACTGAATAGTGATCACCGATTTTCAAGCGTGTCGCTTATGCGATCTATGAAGAATGTAACTTACAAATTCTAACCATTATCAATATAATCTAAAAGCCTTTTTTAAGAAGTAAACTGATTCCACGTCATCAATTAGTTTGTATTTTATCAGTGAAATTTTAATTAGGATCGGTTGTTTTTATCAAAATTTTATTTAGTTGATGATACAAAATGAAATCAGAAAAGTTAGAGAAATATAAAGCGTCTTTTTGTCCAAAGAAAAGTGTGTCTTACCATTTACTCTTATGTTAATATTTTATATTCAGTAAATTGATAAACAGTTAAAACTTGTTTAACTAAGGAATCAGTATCAATTGAAGAATAGTTAAGTAACCAAAACAATTGGAATCAGTTTTTTGACTTAGTTCTTGTCTTCTCAGATGTAGACATAATCATTAGTTACTGAAATTAATGATATTAAATGACAGATGAGGATTTTAACACTCATTCATGTTAACAGATACATATTGTATACTGAAATTTAGCATATTAAAAACTTTTAATTTATCCTTAATTCGTTTTGTATTGTTTGTTTAGATCTTTCCGTTGACGTTTAGGACTGCAATTGATCAGTCTCTTATTGGAATATGTGCACTCTGTGCGGCTTGTTTAAGTCATATATATTATATGGAGAGATAGATGACGGCTAGCAGTGGAATCCAAGACGCGCGTTTCGTCCTATTCCGAACTCATCAGCTAGGTGTACCTTCGTTCCAGGGTTGATGTTCACTCTGGGACTCGAAATCCTTAGTTTATTTGCATTTAATGATTGGTATGCTAAAATGTAAATGAATGTTGATGATTATATTGTACAAATTAGTTCATTGCACGCTACTACATTTTGTTATGAACGTGCATGATGTTATATCTACTGAATTCATTTTCAAAAATGTATGCTTTCATAATAAAACTAACATTTTAGTACTGTACGCTTTCAAATTTGTTTGTTTTCCTCAACTTTATTTGTATTCTGCTTTACACATTCAACTAATTAAGAAGTTAATAAAATTTAAATGATAAGCTAATATCAGTGCTGAATGCTTGTTAATAAATTATGTATATCATTTATATTGGCTTGAAAGTTTTATTGTGAAGAATGAAAGAAACTTATCATTAGACTGTTGTATGTGATCGGCTGGCATAGATTTTAAAATAAGCTATAATTCGTTCTCCATTTGCAATTTCCCTACTAAATTGTGTATCAAATATTACATTAATAATAAGGTTTTTAAACATCTGATGTATCTTAGTATTTTTGACGTTTAACGGTATAGTTAGACAGTTTTAGAGGTGTTGTACGCTATGAACTCTATGGCAATATTATCATCTCTTAGATATTAGTTCTATCAAGAACAAATTACATATTTGTTGTGATTTACTCTATGGATTACTGAGTTTAATCATTATGACAGAATTAGTTATGGTTTTAATAATTTGGAAAAAGAAACCTATTTCTTAACATCATATTTTCAGTACATGATAATCATCGGTGTTGGACCTTTCGTATTGAACATTAGAAAAACATACAATTCGCATTCACAAACATACAAGACTAGACAAATCAATAAATTTTTATCATAATGGAGAAAATAACATTTGGGTTATTAAATATATCGGGTAACACAATTCAACCGTTAACCCAATGTCGTTGGTATCGGTGGGTATAAAAAACATACATGTCTTTACAAAAATATTATCCAATTAGTCACCTTGTTTGTGTGTTAAGTCGCTTTGCTAGAAAGTAGAACTATGTAATGGAAATAAGTCGGTTGTCTGTGTAGAATAACAGGTAGATTTGTAAATATATCAAATCCTCATAATTTAATTCTTGCATTGGTTGTTATTTAAGATATTAAGGTCGTTATCTTCAAGATAGTGAATAATTGACTGATGAATGAGAAGAACTGATATTCATAAAAATTAACATTCTTGCAGTAATTCGATGTATTGATTTTCGAAAAGCGATAATAATAATACTCTCGTTCAATCTTTGATTAAGATTAACTGAAGATAATCCATTTCAACTACCATTTCTTCATGAGAGCCTAAAAAGCTTGGATATTTATCATTCATTGAAAGATGCCATTATTGGTTTGAATCCTTACACAGATGATACTATTCAGTCGATTTAACTTTATGAGAATATTCGTTAACGCCTGAACGAATTGTTTGTCAGAAATTAGACTCCAAGTATACAAGAAACACTTTCTAAAAGTTATATTTGAAATAATCTCAGATTGAAATTTGAATAGTTCAACAGTGTGGTCCCTCAAACATGTCCGTACTTCAGGGAAATAATCGAAATTAAAATTACCAAAGAATATATAACGTTTAACGATCAAATCTAGATTGAATGCTTATCCAATCATATTCAGAAATTGACTTTAGTAAATAGGACACCATGAGTCAGGAAGATGTTGTAGTGTCCGTTACTATATTAAGCCCACATAACTTATTATAACTTCCAGACAAGTCAATCTTCACTATTCTTGAGTCACATTTCGAGCATGTCAATTATTCGCTTACCAACCTTGACTTTTTATGTAAGCGTACATGTGCACTTGAGGTAATCACCAACATTGAAGAGCAACAAAACAGGTGGGTAGAACACTTCAAAGAACTGTTGAATCGACCAGCTCCACTGAACCCACCCAACATCGAAGCAGCACCCACGGACCTCCCAATCAATGTTGGCCCACCAACAATTGAAGAAATCAGCATGGCCATCAGACAAATCAAGAGTGGCAAAGCAGCAGGACCGGACAACATCCCAGCGGAGGCACTAAAAGCAGACGTAGCGGCAACTGCATAAGTAACTTCTAAGCTCGGTTCAACAGTTTTATCACAATGACTAACTTTCTCTGACAGAAATTTCGTTGAACGACGACCACGACCACGACTACTATATACACGATGAAGACGAGCAGGTCTTCCACGACGTCTAGTTACATGTACATTATTTGTGTGTCCTGTTTCCGTATGCTGATTTCCGGTCGATTTATCAGGATCTAGCTCCTCCATATTCTCAAGAGGATGATCAGTTTTCTCATCTGAATTCCCATCGTATGAAGTAGGATCATCAGACTCGTCAAAAACAACAGAACGACGTTTTCTCCCAACTCGATTTGTCTTCTAGTTAGAGAACAATGAGAATAGTATTTGTTATGTATTGAGTTACATAATTTTCGAGATCTAGAGACACAGTATCTAATAAATTAAACCCAATCAATATTTCAAGTGTTAGTGATAAGGAAATTCGTTGTTTTCTTAACGATCTGCGTAAAAATCTATTTAGATTCTGATACGTTCGTGAAGTGCGCTAATAATTTCACTACGCCGACTACAATACAATGAGTTATTTATTTTTATTTAAACGTATAAACATTGGTACAAAGAAGCATCAAATACATTCATTAGACTTCTTAAACAACCTGGTGTGCGAGGTAAAATGAGTAAGTCTTGTCTGGCAGTGGTTGTATATGCGTGGCTTCTGAGTGCATTTCATGAGGCAGAGTGGACTCTTTAGCCTCGGTCCTACCAGGTATTTGGCGGCTACATTTCCAATGTAATTTGCGCTTATTTGTGTAAGTGCTAAGTATTTAAAATAAAAAGGAATATCTAATAAGTTTGTAAGTGAAGTTCTGCTATGTTAATTTATGAAAATCTTTTTTCTAGTAACGCTACTACAGGTTTATCGCTCTCTGTTATTGTTCACTTCAGCACATTAGCTTGTGTTACACTTGTATATATTGGAATGAAGCTAGAGGAAAGTCATTAGTTTTAATCTTAAGTTAATAGCACTAAAAGAAAATTTTGATTGTAAACTTTGTAGTTTCGACTTTTGAGATATTCATTTATTCCGTCTTAATATCTTCGTTACTTGAATTCTAACTACTAGTATTACCACCATGGTCATATCCGTGATGGTTTCTATTGGTTATTACTTGTATATTATCCATTTTCGATTTACAAATAACTTTGGCTAGTCCAAAATTGTTCATTTATATCTTAAGACGGTTGTACAGTTATTCAAGGAGGAAACTTATTTAAATATTTTTTGGTTTGTACATTATGTTCAAATTTAGATTTGTAGAAACATGTAGTCACTGGTGACCTAGTTTATGAATTTCATTGGGAAGTTTGGACGGATGGAATTCAACTATATTGGTGGTGAAACTGATACCCGCGATGTTAAGAAATGATCGTCATGATGTGCCGTATATTGATTCAAATGTGAACCAATGGGTCCTTGATTTTAAATGTAACACATTTATCTTATGGCCTTAAGTTTTGGAGTTCAATCTTTTATAATGTAATGATTGAAGTCTATCGATAATTGTCCAAAACTATCACAAACTTTCTATTTATCACTGTTTCTGAGTTTTTAATAATTCACTAACTGAATTTACTTGTCGATCAAAATCATTATAGATCAGAAGTAATCAGACCATTGAACAATCTCATGCAACTTATCTTTTTGAAAAGCCAAATTTGATCAAGCAAATAAGTCATCATTGTATTTAACCAAATATCTTATCAATACAATACAAAGTTAATTGTAATGCCTTAACCACAATCCTAAATAAAGCCGATAAAAATTTCTTATCAACTTTACAAGGGAAACAATGAAACGTTAACATAAAAAGTTTTTTTGTAAGTGTACATTTTACTTATTAGTAGTTAGATTGAATAAATAACATTTGTTTCTTTCTTTTTATTGTTAAAAATGCACTTGGATATATATATATATATATATATATATATATATATATATATATATATATATATATATATATATATACGTTTTAAACATCCAAAACGACTTTCATATCATACTTAAGTCCAGTTTATTTTTAACATGTCACTTGAGATTAGTATAAATTCACTGTTGAATTATGTACATATATGTATGTATTGTTTACAAAAGATAATGATCATCTTACATGAAACGAATATAATACGTCATCAAACATTGACAAATAAATAAGTAGGTGTAAACGACGCTTGTAATAAAAGTGAGATCAAGAAAAAAAAGAAACAAAGGAAAAAGCAAAAGAAATAATGGTTTTGTTTACATTGACTTAAATGTAGTACTATGGAGATAACTTATCAAATATGCTATTGGTAATTTTCACACAAATTAAACAAAACAACCAATTTTTAATCGTTTGTAACTTGAGTTTGATTTAAAGAACACGATCAAGGAAAAAATGTTTTTCTTTTTGAGGAAAACAAAGAATTTTTATATTTTCAGTAGATGATAATTAACGTTCAACTTTTTACTTACTTACTTACTTACACCTATTAATCCTCGTGAAGTAGCATAGGCCGCTCACCAGCATTCTCCATCCAACCCTGTCCTGGGTAATTCTTTTCAGCTCCTTCCAGTTCTTATTGATCCTTCCCATATCTGCTTCTATTTCCCGACGTGATATTTCTATAATGAATGAATATGAAGGTTGAAAATTTGTTAAATTTTATAGTTTTGAATTCATTAACATACAGAGGTTAAAATGTATATTTGAGTAGTCTTTATATGTGAAAATTATATTTCAAATAATCTCAGAGATTGAAATTTAAATAATTCCAACGTTTCATCCAGTTAACTTGATTATTACCCTAAACAAGTTCAGACAAGTTAGCTGGAGGAAATATTGGAATTATTTAAATTTCAATCGCTGCTCTATACTCGGTGCCCAATTTCTGTCAAGCTATTCGTTCTAATCTTGACGAATATTTGTATATATTTGAGTAGTTTGAGTTTATAAAGAAAATCTAGTAAACATATCAGTTTAGGGGTAGTGGTTTATAAATGTGATTATATGAATTTAGAAAGAACTGTAACATTTGACTGAATATAAATAGAAAGGACTGATTTGTTTAGAATATTTCAAGCATTTCTTGAATTACTTAAGGGTTTACAGATTATATTTATTGTGATTGTAATTTTATGATTCAACCATATTACTGTTTCTATCGTTTCCGCGTCGATTATTACTTATAATTGAAAGAACGATGAACCATTGTTATTGCGATGACGCGAAGTAAGAACATTAAGACTGGTAGAAGTGAAGATGTGTCTAGTCGAAAATGATTTGTACATCTATTTTAATTGTT